TTCCTTCGTCTCTGTCTCTCTGTCTCTCTCTCTCTCTCTCTCTCTCTCTCTCTCTCTCTCTCTCTCTCTCTCTCTCTCTCACCCGACCCTCTTGTTATATTATCATGAAGAATCGATTGTCTTCAAACCAGGAGTTATTTTCTGTCACAGCTTGCCCTGTGTATCTTTTTGGTGGGGCCCACGGCATAGTACATGTAATCAGACAAGAAGTACGTTTCCTGGAATATTCTCGACAAATAGGCCTATCATTTGATTCCCCTCTTGGAAAAGCTTGTAAGTGGGCGATACGAAAACTTCAGCCTCTTGACAGTGACAAAAGTGGGCGCTGGCTTAAAAAAGGTTGATAAGCACTGATCTAAAAAGTTCCGATAGAAGCGTAAAAGTAAAAGCTTACAGTTACATTGTTTTATCATTTTGTTGTGTAGATATTGGTGGGCGCCATAGACGGAGGCCAGCCGTCCCTAACGGGTACGCTGACGGTGGAGGTGCATGTGTCGGACATCAACGACAACTTTCCCGTGTTTGAGCGGCCGGTCTACGTCGTGAACATACCCGAGGACACGAGGAACGACCAAATCATTCAGCAGGTAAGAGAGAGAGAGAGAGAGAGAGAGAGAGAGAGAGAATGTGTGTGCGAGTGTGTGATGTATATTATGTATGTTTGTGTGTGTGTGTGAGAGTATAATATGTGTTTTATATGCTGTGTGTGTGTGGGTGTGTGTTAAAAGTTTCTGGAAGTAAGATCCATTCACTCCAACTTCAAGTCTGTATACTTTGTGACGGTAATGTTCACAACACTCAAGTAGTGAACCTTTTTTTGCATGGGGATAATTGGAAGGCACCACTGGTAAATCCTTTTAGTTAATTAAATTTGCTCCTTTGTTTCATTCTCTCCTTCTTACTTCCCCCCCCCCCCCAGTTCTTAATGGCCGGTGTGTCATTATGCAATTCTTTTTACTATAAAAAAAAGAACTTTTACTGCTTTGCTCAATGTGGCTATTTAGCTGTTACTCTAGTGTTGTTTGTTCCTCTTTCAATCAAACATCCGTTTATTGTATTCCTCTCTTCTCCTTACCTTGTATGTACTCTAGTAACACTTCTATTTATGTGACTGTAAAACAGCTATTACTGAATTCAAACTAAAAAACTACAACTGTGCTCACCATAGGTCAAGGCCACAGACGCAGACACGGGTCCCAATGGTGAGCTGGTCTACTCCTTCTCCAGCCTGCAGCCCCTGGATGACCTCCAGTATTTCGGAATCAAACCCAAAACGGGTGAGATCTACGTCACGCAGTCAGTGGAGTCTCGCACAGGACAGGACATTGAACTGCTGGTGGAGGCCAGTGATCAGGGACATCCTCCAAAAGTGTCAAGGACAAGGGTTCAGGTACTGAGAAGTCCAAAATAGCTTTTAATTGGATAATTTCTTTTTAATGTAGACATTTTATATGCTCCGGTGGATCCATTTTAGATCACCTAGAATGGGCACTTTTGACCCTGCCTGTCGGGGCCTAACCTGGCTGAGAGGGAGAACATCCCAGCAGAAATACCAAGATACTCGATAAAAGTTATTATACTCATATGGAAAAAGTGGGATCTTCTGCATGCAACAATGAATTGCCTCACTGCTAAACATAGACACTGGTCTCAAACAACTGATAAGCATATTATTGCTATAGGCTGCTGAGACCTCCGTAAATGGTCGCTTTTAAGGACAAGTGGGCTAACACATATTTCGGGGGGTTTCCAGAAATCTTGACCTACACCAAAAGTGGGCATTGCCCTACCCCTTGGAGAAATTTGGTTGTATTGGTGTGTATATTTGTTTGGTTATAGAGGAAACTCTCCTTGTCTTTTAAAGAAACTGAACAAGGGCGGGCAAAAACTTTCCCTTCGATTTTCTCAAAACAGCATATTTCGGGGTAGCCCCCTTGTGCTTAAAAACGACCAAATTTGGTCAGGACAAAAGAAACTTCATTCTTAATCGATACATGTATTAAAGTCTGTCTAACAGTGCTTGCTGGGTTGTCCAAACTTTCCTTTTCTTCTACCACAGTCTTTTTCCTCCGAAGTAAATGCAAAGTCAACATTTTTAAGCTCACAGTCCCCTATGGTATGGGTGCTACTTCTTTTAATCAGATTTTTAAAAGGATTTTCCATGCCTTCCCTACCTCTCCCTCTTGCCCCCCTCTTTTTCTAACATTTCAACTGTATGTTTTTAGAATCTGTATCTTTTTTTTTCTCACTAGTTATTGGGGGGGGGGGGGGGGGGGGGGGCTCAGACTTGGCTTTCTAGTTCTACTTCTTTTCTGTACCACTCCTAACACAGTCTGTTTCTGGGGAATTGTTAACATTGCCATCCTGGCACAGTGTATGGTTGGAGAGCACTCCTGGTATGTCCTACTTCCTTTCTCCCCTATTGTTTCTGTCAGTCTTGCATTTTCCCTGCCTTGCACTAAATGGCCATTGCTGTGTCGATGTGCTTTCTTTACTCTACTTAGACTAGGCTAATAGTGACTCACCATGACCTAAAACTCAATTGAACTCAACTTTAAACTTCTTTTCTGTAATTTTGTTTCAGATTCAGGTAGAGGACACAGTGAACAGCATGCCAGAGATCATGGTTGACACGCTGGGCGGGATCTATGGTGTTGCTGAGGTGTCTGAGTATGGAGAGATTGGCAAGGTCAGTGAAATAATTAATTGACCCCACAGTTAGTTCAGGTTCATAGAACTTGTGAATGTTTTGGAGCAGAGCCCAATGGCAAGCCAATCCACAGGAATAAAATTTCGCTTTTTTGTCTGTCCTCTGAGGATGGAGAGCACCAGTGGTGGGTCTTTCTTTTTTCCTCTCTCTTCTGTTGTTCTTGTTAGTCTGTCCTGCTTAATGATAGCTATGGTTGGTTTCGATATGTTTCTATATACTGAAACTCGACTCACAGTATTGACCTCCTTCTCCATGTCAGGTTGTGGCACATGTGAGTGTCAGAGACTCAGACAGTGGAGACAACGGCAGGACAGATTGCAACCTCAGTGGACCAGAATTTCGATTGGTCAAGCTGGACAATAAAGGGAAATATAAGGTAACGATAGAGAAGGACATTTCCTCTGTTGTATATTTTATTTCCAGTCACTCTTTAAGGATATGACGAACCCATTATTATGTCCGATAATTAAGCAGGAGACCAAAAGCAAAGTTGTAGCCCATTTTGAACATTTATCACTCAGAAATGAGACACGCAAATTATCAAATTGCCTATTAGTAGGCGATACCACCCAGTTTAGCAAGCACTGATCTAGATGTAGTTAATTTGCTTATTATTAGTTTTTTACTGGTATGCTTAATGTTTTTGTCACCTATTCTTACTCACCTAGGGCTGACCTATGCTCTTTCCAACCCCTCTCATACCTCTATTCCAATCTCCCCTTATATGTCTCTAGGCAGTGCTGATGTCCAGTCTTGACCGTGAGCTTGTGAGCATGTACAATGTAACAGTTTCCTGTTCTGACCATGGCTTCCCATCTCTGCTGGCCACAAGAGACTTTGCTGTGCAAGTCCTTGATGAGAACGACCAAACACCAAAGTTCTCCCAGAGAACGTACGAAGCGTCTATGTACGAGAACAATAAGCCAGGTACAGCTGGATCTCAAAAGATGTTGATGTTTGTCTCTTTTTTTCTCTTTCCTTTCCTCTATCTTGTCTCATTCTCCCGCCTTCCCTTCCTTTTCACATCACTCTCTCTCCTTGTGTCTCTTTATGTATATGCCCGTGGCACATGATTGTGAGCTTATTTCTAATTTGGTTTAAAGCGTTTGCTTGAGTTAAAAATAGTCTTTCTTTTTGAACATTTTAAAAGTATTTGTTCACTTTGTAGTTCCAAGTTTTCTGATGAACAATGATCTTATTTAGTCTTAGCCTTTCCCTGGCATGATATAACCATTACTGTGCAGTGAAGTACATCTGAGCAACCACCATCACCTGTACTAAACAGACAGAAAGGTGTATCAAGTCTGTTATGGGTTGTTAAAGCTTTTCAAATCCTGGATGTATTTGACTTTTGAAGAGATAAAAATGTTGCAAACACTGGAATATCTCTCATCTCTTAGATTTCCTTTCCTAAGTGACTTTAACTCCTGTCTGCTTTTTGGGGGAGTTTGGATGTACAAAGTGTTATTAGTGAACAGACAATTGGACACATGAGCAGATTAATTAAGGATCAAAACAAAACAGTCATTGTTGTGGAATCTGGTTTATTTTCCTTTGCTTGCATCTGGAGTGTAACCATCTTAAAGTACTGTTCTTAAAGGTTTCCATGAATAAATCTCGCCTCCAAAATTTGGATATTACATATAATAGATGTACAAGGTTTAACATTTGGTCATGCTTTGTATTGGTTTGATGCATGATCCCTTACCCACAAATTTGATCCATTTTTGGGGGTATGTTTTGATCACTTTTTTTTTTTTTCTGGTGAAAAATGTGTCATAATAGCATGCAGGGTTGTTTTTTTGTTTTGTTTTGTTGTTGTTTTTTTTGGGGGGGGTTGGTTTGTTTTCTTTTTTCTCTTTCTGCTATTGACACTGCAACCAAATCTTTTCCCAGGTGTGCTGGTGAAGCAGCTCACTGTGACTGATGGAGATACTGGTGAAAATGCACAAGTTTTCTTTGAGGTAGTCGGCATCAACAAACGCTTTTTCTCAGTCTTTGACAACGGCAGTATGGTTGCCATGGAATCTCTGGACAGGGAACTCACCGACAGAATTGTAACAACGATTGTTGTCACTGATAGAGGCAAACCTCCCCTGTCGTCAACAGCCACTGTCATTGTCAACCTTCTGGACGTAAATGATGTGACTCCGTACTTCAGTGAAATGATCTTCAAGTTTGAAGTCACAGAAGGTAACCCTGGTTCAAGGTTTGTTGGAATTGTTTCTGCGTCAGATGATGATGTTGGAGCCAATAAGAATGTGTTCTATCACCTACCTCTTGAGTACACTCAGACGGAGAACAATTTTGTTATTGGAACAGACGGAGGTGTCATAAAAACAAATAAAGTCCTGGATAGAGAGGAGAAAGAGACTCACAACTTTCTCGTCCTCGCCACTGACCGCGGGACACCTGCCCGGACGGGAACTGCTAGTGTTATCATCACTGTTCTGGACATCAATGACAACGATCCTTACTTCCTGTTCCCCAACGCCAGTAACGACAGCTTGGTTATTCCTCACACATTCGACAAAGATGAAAGGATCGTCTCTATAAAGGCTGACGACAGAGACAAGGGGCTGAACTCTGCCCTTGTGTACTCAGTCAGTAGTATCAACGAGTCTGCACCATTTGCCGTGAATCCTCAAACAGGGTCGCTGTATCTCAATGAGAAACTGACCTCTGAAGATGTGGGCTTGTACACTCTGACCCTCATGGCTCACGACCAAGGCACGGACAAGCAGAGAGCCACCCAGTACCCTCTGTACGTGGAAGTTTACTTTGACAATTCCACATTGCTGGCTGCCCTGGACGCCGGAGGTCCTTCAAAGACGATGATCATGGCTGTGGTTATATCAGCTGTGTTGCTGGTGATCTTGGTCACTGTGCTAGTCACATACATCTGCTATAAGAAATACGAGGCCAAGAAATCAGCTGGAGGTGTTCCCAACTCGGGTAAGAACTGAAGTCGTAATGCTTACTCCTTTTCTACCTTGTTATGTTGGTTTTTTTACTCGATTACTCAGACAGCATCTGCTTTCTTTGTCTTCACTCTTCACTTTTTGTGTGTCTTGCTTTTCTGTCTTCTCCCTAATTGTGTCTGTCACCTAACAATGCCCCCCTAGATCCATTGCAAAGGCTTCAGGCTGGGCTCTCAACTTCACTTTAACACAAAAATGTCTTACTCTATTCCTTTCATGTACGATTAACTGAAAGTCCGTTTCCAAATAGTTCCAATTTTTTTAATGAGTTAATGTCATCTGGAACATCTGGACAAATTCAAGGCACTTTGTGCAGTACAAATATTTTGGCCCCCTCATTCATTTCTTTTTCCAGCCCTTGTCCCATATAACTGATCTCATACTTTTCTGACTTTAGTACTTTTTCACATCAGCATCTGTGGTGCAGGGGTCAGGTGCTAGGCCATCGCATGCAGGCATTTAATTAATGAGTGGAGAGAATTTTCATCAAGTAACTGAGTCTATCTGCTGGGATGTTGTACCCCTCTCATCTCAGGATGGTCCTGATAGGTAGGGTTGAAGCCCACCTCTTAAATTATTTTAATTGTTTTGGTGAGGGCTTAGAACACAAACATTTTTTTTAAAATTGCCTTTCCACTATTCCACAGCATCCACTTCTTCAACGACCAAACTCCATGGAGGTTACTACATTGCCCCTGGTGTTCGGGGCTCTTCCTCTTCCTTCATTGGTAAACAAGAAGATGGAACTTGCAACTCTGGACACGAGATGGGAGAAGGAATGAAGACCTCCAATCCTTATGTCGTCATGGTGCCGGCACCTTCCTCAGAGAGAGACACTGCACCTGAGGTATTGAAATCAAAATGAAGACAAAGTATTCTCCAGATTTTGTCCACCATAAAATTTGCAATGCTTTGATAGCATTGTTGTTGCTGTCTCTATTGACATTTTTGGGGGTTGACACTCTTTTTTGTTTGAACGTACGTTTAGTTTTGTCCTCTGATTTATCTATTTGTTCAGCAAAATGTTATATTAAAAATATCAAATGAAAGAAAATTGAATAGAGAGTTGGAAAAAACAAACCCTACATATTTTCTGATCAGAATATGAATATTGTCTGGGAAAATCTGGACTGGAAAAGTTCCAGTATGTATAGAAGCATATAATAAGAGTTGATGATGTAGATCATCGTAGTAAATTAATCACCAACAAGCTTAAGTTAAATTTGTTAACAATTATGTGAAAATGATGTGAAAAATTAATTGTTTTCATTTTTTTGCGTTTGATTACTTTGACGGAGCAGATTGTGGAGATATCTCGCCCTGGTCATCCAAACGGCCTGAATGACACTCTGAACACGGATGACCTGGACCAGACAGATGATGGTCAGTTCTCCACCTTCAAGTCTCAGGAGGATATCCTCTCCCCAGGGATCAGACAAGGATCTCTAAGTAGACGGGTAATATCATTGTGCCTACAGATTTGAATTCTATTTTTCTTATGCTCCCGGACTCCTCCGTTGTCTTTTTTTCTTCTTCTCGTCTTTTTTTCTTCTTCTTCTTTTCATCATTACCATCATAGCTATGCCAATGGATTTGTAGATTTTCCATCTTAAGAAAATATGTTGGTATTGTTTTCTACAACTGAAAAGTTTAAATAGGCTTCTTTTTTTTTTTTTAATTCTGTATTAACCCTTTTGATGTCTTGTGGTTAGGTGATTGATTTGAAAAGTTGAGACCATTGTTTGGACTCATTCTAATTTTGCTTATACTGTTAAAACTGTCTTAGACAGTCACCCATTGTTGGGAGAAAAGTCATTGTCTTAGACAGGTGGATGTCTTGTCAGTGTCATAATAATGACCAAAAAATTGCGCAGGGTGGGGAAAGAGGGTGGGGAGAGAGGGTGGGGGGTGGGAAGTGGTCTTTTGTACAGGTGATTGTCATGGACAGATGATCATTAGAGCAGGTTCGACTGTAACATGTCCCTCTCTTTGTGCTTTCATCCTGGTAAATTCTATACCTCTAATCAGGTATCTTGTCTGCACCCACACTGCTAGGATATTAAACTCAGTATCTTTCCTCTATTTTTTTTTTTTGCCACAGGCACATGACACATCGGACGTGAAGCGACCAATTAATGACACCTTCGATGATGACATGTCATGTGACAGCACAAGTGACAGCGGCAGAGGTGGCAGTGATGTCGAGAACGGTGCTGCGGCTGCCAAGGAGAAAGGTTGGGGATGCATAATATTACAGAAACACCTTAGTGTTGTTTATCAGTCTTTTGCTGTTGTTTATCAGTCTTTTGCTGTTGTTTATCAGTCTTTTGCTGTTCTTAGTGTTTCTGTTGTTTATCAGTCTTTTGCTGTTGTTTATCAGTCTTTTGCTGTTCTTTATCAGTCTTTTGCTGTTGTTTATCAGTCTTTTGCTGTTCTTTATCAGTCTTTTGCTGTTCTTTATCAGTCTTTTGCTGTTCTTTATCAGTCTTTTGCTGTTCTTAGTGTTTCTGTTCTTTATCAGTCTTTTGCTGTTCTTAGTGTTTCTGTTGTTTATCAGTCTTTTGCTGTTCTTAGTGTTTCTGTTGTTTATCAGTCTTTTGCTGTTCTTAGCTTTCATGTGATTTTTGTTACTCAACTTGTCAGGTGGGTGGTTGGTGGATGCTGTGATGTGGTTTGTTCCTTCTTTCCTATCGAACATCTATTACCCTAATCTCTCCTTATTTTTTGTGTTTGTTACCCTTGTAACACCTCTATTCTTTGCCAGTTATATGGCCTTATTGTGTTTCAAGTGCTGTAAAACTCTTACTGAAATTTAAACAAGTAGTTGGCAAGCAATGCTGCTTGGTTCTGTTTCCCTTTTTTGTCTATGTGTTGCTTTTCCTCAACTGCCGTACTTTATTTATTCTGATTTTAGCCATTTCTATCCTTAGTATGCATTAGTTTTGAGTTTCCTTTTAATTTTAGCAAGAGTTTTACAGCACCTGCAGCTCAAAGAGGTCATAAAACTATAACTGCCAAAGATTAAAGATGTTACAAGAGAGTAATATCGAGAGAAAATGGTGAGGAAAGATAAGTAAGATAGATGATTGATTGGAAAGAAAGAGAAAACCACACCAGATCATCCACCAATCACCAACCTAGCATTAGGGGGATTGCACCTTATGCTGGATTGCTGGGAGTATATTTAATAGCCTTCTCTCCCAAAGAAGTTTTATTTTCTTTTTGTTCTCATTTCTGGGCGTATATAAAGGAGACAGTGCTAAGAGGTGCCACTTTTAACTCTTTGAGCCCCTAGCTCCAGTATACCGGTGGTGCATTTCAGCAGCAGTAATCTGTAACACCGGTTCACCACTGTGAGGAAAGAGCGCTATATTATCGGACAGAAAAAGGCAATAATTTTCAATCAGTCTGAACAATTATCTAGTCTCTGTCAACATGCTGCTATGGTATACCAATATGTATGCATTCATTCATTCATATTTTGATCACGTTTTGTGCCGATTTATTGAGTTTTTTCACGATGAAGTGCCCTCTCTCGGACTCTGGAAGCTCAGGGGGTCAGGATTTGGGTAAAATTAGAATCAGGGGCCCAGGGCTCAAAGGGTTAATACCACCTTTCAAGTTTAACCTGTGAGCTTCTTATTATGGCCAACTGTCATTCCTAATACATTTTTCTCAACACAAACTCACATTTGGGGGGGGGGTAAACTTGATTTCATTTGCACTAATTATTTTTTCCATTGAATATTATACGTGAAGTCCATGGATATTTTAAATCTTGATCTTTTGAAATTGTGTTTATATGTATAGTAGAACGACTAATGATGACAGCTAAGATTCCTTTGATGCTTTACTTTGGACTGTATTAACATCAAATTCTGTTTTTGTCTTCACTATCTACAGCACGTGCACAAGCAGCTACGCCAATATCGGTGAAAAGCGGAATCTCAAACAGGTTGTCTCCCCTGCCTCGAGAACACGAACGAACATTTCACACGTTCCGCGGGGACTCTCCAAGCTCTTTCCCATTTGACTCGGACAGCGACACCTTAACCCGACCGCAAAGGTTAAGGGCCAGTCCAATGCCAATGATGGCAACACCATCCCGCCGTGACATCCCCAGGTTTGAACCTGGTGCAACGAGCTCTCTGTCCCGATATAGTGAAAGTGACACGGACAATGACCTCACACCACGAGGCCGGCCCAGCCACCCACCGCCCCCTCCCCCTCTGAACATTGCTGGCATTCACAACCCAAACTCGTCATTCAGTGGTTTCAGCAGCGGTGGTGAAGGGAGCACCCCACGACAGCCAGTCAGAGTGGCCCCTCTCCCCATGTTTATGGGGCCCTCCATGTACCAAAGACACGATAGTGAGACGGACCACAGCGATGCGGGTTCAAATCCCAGTAGCTCTCTGTCCCGGCGGAACCACGTACCCCGTCTGCCTTACTACCCGGGCATCGAGTTTACCCATCACGCCTATGGGGGCTCGAACCGTAATAGCATCAGTGCTTTCAGTAATCACTCTTCTGCCTCGGCCAGTGATGGATATTACCCAGACCCTCATCAGGCTCCCCTGTATTCCCCAAGTGCCAGTCGTGTAGATTACAATCGCGGTTTGTCGAACACTAGCAGTGGTGCTCAGCCTTATAACTATGACTATAACAACCCTCAAACATTCATGCCAGATGGAAGAGTCTCTGGTAACTATGGCAACGTGGTCAGCGAGCTGCAGGACTCTCGTCCTGTGAGCATGGAGGAGGATTTCCTTCTCCCACCTTACCCCGAGGTGGATGAGGAGGAAGAACAAGAGGCAGAGAATCTCGCTATGCATTCTGGGTTCACAGGATTTAGCCCCGAGCGTGATGCAGAGCGGGCTGCTCTTTTCGACAGATCAAGATTTGAATCTAGTGCATAATTAATTATGATGTTTCTTACGGTCCAAAAGTGTATTTGCCATTCCTTTTGTCTACATTGCTCTCAGATGGTCAAATGGTCAAAATAAGACGCTTGGCGTTAAGAGTGATGCTACAAAACCCTGCCATGATGCTTACACTTGTTTCTGAACTTTTAATTTGCCCCTGTCAATTTTTCACTCTGAAAATGTTCTCAAGTCTTGAGAAATTTGAAGAGGGAGTAAAGTCTTAATTTTGTTAGAATAAATTTTAAAAATTATGATCGGATTAACTCTTGTGTGCATGTTTTTCTGCCCTTATGATAAGCAAGTCTTATGTTCTGACTGACATATGTTTTATGCATTAACTTGGTCTGAAACATGAACTGTATAACATTTTTGTATTTTAAGGATTTGTTTGTCATATGGGCAGTGTCAACTTATATCTCTCATGTACAAGAGTCTTCTATAATGGGAACAATTTGAGAGAAGGGAAAGTTTAAAACGGGGCAATGTTGTGAATGTAGAGTAAGACTTGTTTTGATTTTTTAAATTTGTTTTTTCCTTTTTATTTAAGGCTAGGTTTACTTTTGTCATTTAGTTACCAATAAGCATGATCCTCTTCCAACTTGGCATGTTGAGAATAAGTATGGTTCGTTTTTCCATGCTCTGGAGGGATAACAGTTACCCTAATCAGAAAGAGACAAGAGAAGCATGAGTATAATCACAATGTGAACAACAGTTTTTTTCCCTTTGCAAATAACTTGACACATGAGCCTGAAGATCTAGGTGTGTTTGTGTGTGTGTGTGTGTGTGAGAGAGATAGAGAGAGAGAGAGAGAAAAAGAGAGAGAGAGTGTGTGTTTATGTGTGTGTTTGTCTTGTGTGTGTGTGTGTGTATGTGTGTGTGTGTGTGTGTGTGAGAGAGAGAGAAAGAGAGAGAGAGAGAGACAGACAGAGACAGACAGACAGAGACAGAGACAAACAGACTGGCAGACAGACAGACACAGACAGATAGACAGATACACACACGTACACACACACACACACACACTCACACGCACAGTACTCTGCCACAATATCCATTTTACTGTCTCAGGTACTTTAGTCCCTTTGAGAAAGCAAAGGCTTTAGGAAATGCAGGCCAGGAATTGTAGAACTGACTGTGTCTCTGGTGCCAAATCTGTGCTGGTTTTTATTTTCTTTTGGTTTTGAAACATTGCTCTTAGTTTTGTCAAATATTTAGTTGATTATGTTTTACTGTCCTAGGCTGTGTAATCTGCTTTAACAAATGTTAACAAGCTAAAAAGATGGGAAATAAGAATGCTGAGGATGTAGTCTGGGCTACGTGCTTGAAATATGTATGAGGTCAGTGTAGAACATGCTGCTCTTTTGCCAAAGAATGTACTCAAGACGTAGCAACTGGATAAGGTGAAACTGAGTCAGTAGATGTTTAGATGTATGGTATGCTGAAGTGTTGAATGTTAGATATATGTGACAGCCTGACCACGATTTTTTTCTTCTCTGTGCCTTTAAGATTTTTCCTGCCATTTTCCTAATTATCATTGGCATAAATTTTACCTGTGAACAATCTAAAAGTGTCACTGTGGATTGCCTGTTGTCATGTCAATTCTGAAGCAGCTGATCAACATTTTCTCCAGCACTACAGTCCAGGACTTTCACTGCTTGATCAGAACAACTTCACGCTCTTGAGTTAACGCTTTGTAACTGTTGTAAACATTGAGTATTATTTCTTAAGGTTTCTTCTTGACAAAATGCCATATCAAAACGTGACTTGGGCAAAAGTCTTGTAAATATTCTTGTTGTCGCATCATAGATTGTTGCTTTGTAATTCTGTTTGCCATAAAATCATTAATACAGCTGTCAGAAAAACTAACTATCCAAGGTGTTTGCTTATTAGTGTATCGGTTGACTGTGTGTACTTTAATGGCTTTTTCAGAAATTGTGATAATTTAATGAATGGTACCTTTACTGGTGTAAAGAGAGGGAAATCATTCACTGTATAACTGATTTCTACCCTTTGATTTTAGTGAAATTTGTTTAAAACATATTGTTAATGATTTGTTGATAAATCAACCCAAGTAATAGAAAAAATTATTTTCATCCTTCCCTAAAGTTCTGAAGACTGGCATTCTTGAAATCTTTCATAATCCTGTATCTAGATTCAGTGTCACATCTCCACTATTGAGGCAATTCAAGAAGAGTTGGGACAAATCTTACTCTTTTGAAAGTACCCAGTAGTGGCTCTGATTTTAGAACGTCTTGTACTAGTAGGCCTTACTCTGTTATATAGTATATAGAATATGATTTTGATTCTAGATACTTGTTCTTTTTCTATGCCTTGTCTATTTTTCTGAATTTTGATATTAGTGTATGGTCTTTCTCTTTTTAGATCAAAGCTGTCAGGCTCTTTTCTATGAAAATAAACAAGCTACTCTTCTTATTTTATCCCAGATGCATTACGCTATATGGCCTATTATAATTTAATCCAACATTTTGCTTCATCTGTACTATTTCAAAACAAATGTGCTTTTATTTGATCTCCTGATCAATTTTAAAAGCCTACATTTTCCATTTTCTCAGCAGTGTCGTCAGCTTTTGTGACCTGCCTCTGGACTGGTTTTCATTTTCTTGAAATGAGAATATTAAGAGGCTAGTTAGGATAGCTTCTTTCTCATGCATTATGGTGTGGTGGGCTAACCATGCATTGTTTCATCGTATTCATGTAAACCACTTCCCAATTCACTGCTCCCCATAATAGCTTACATTTTGTTCCTTACAAATGAGACATGGGTAAGACATATAAAAGTTAATGTTGGCATAAAAAAATGAGTATGATTGTCAGTTTTACTTGTTCTCTTTGTTTGGGTATGGCGATGCGTTCAGTTCTCTTTGCTGTTTTCTTTTCAGCGTGGTTGTCTCATCTTTTTTCTTTTCAATCCCTACGTACCAGTAGGTGTTTTAGTGAAACCTATACTTTAGAAGCTGTTCTCTTCATAATTTGTTTCCTCTTAAGTGTCATGCCAAAATTTACCTTTGTACATCAGCCGCATTCAGAATTGAAAACATTCCACCCCAGAAATTTCCATAAACCCTTAATTCCAGGTAGACTTATTATGATTGCCATGGTCCTTTAAGATGAACTCATTCACTGTGTAATTTTTTTACCCTCTAGGACGTAATTTTTTTCCGTCTGCAAGTTCTTGTTTTAGTACTTCGTTTTGTCCACTGATTCACCTACCTGCTTAGCAAAGTGGAACGTATTATGTATCAAGAAGAATGAGAATAAAATAATATAAACACGAATATCATTTAAAACAACCTGGACTGGAGTAGTTTGAGTATCTACACAGCATATAGCTGAGCCAACATTTAGGCTCATTAAAGTGACAAGAAAAATGCTGAACTGATCAGCTGGCTCAGCGCAGTAAATGAATTTATGTTCTTTAATTTAGTAAAGTAGCCTATGCCAGTAAAAAACGAATTTTTTTCTGCAATTCATTGCATTTGTGGGTGAGCGTACCTTTGTGCATGTGAGTTAAGTTATATATATGAAACTTGGTGTTCTCAAACTAGGCAATGAAACTGAAATCATTCTTAATCTGGGAAAAGAGGTGAAAATACCTCTTTAGCTCTGAATTGAAGGTGGCGTTAAGAAATGTTTATGAATTATTGATTGAAAAAGAAAAACTAAGGCCTTTACTTTCTCAGACTTGGTATTCCCTCCACCATTTTTATGTTTACTACTGATTGTTTCACTATGGTGCTTCATCTCTCTGCTTTGTTTGTCTCTCGTGTGAAAAAGTTTTGCCTGCCTTAATTATAATAATTTGGGACACCTAATGTTTATGAATGATGATAAATTGCATTTAGGTCAGGGCCTCTAGTCAAGACCACCTCCCCAGCTCCCCCCTGGGACCATGTACAGGTATCATGATGTATTTTTGTACTCAAGTGCTCCTTGTGTCTGTGTGAGTTACATGCATGCGGATGCTTGGACAACAAGTCTTACTTACTTTGGACAATTTCTTGTCAGGCAAGCCATTCAAATGTACTAAACCCATAAAACAAAATTTTTCAAGTGAGAGTAAAAAAAATATTTATTTCTTTGACGAATTATTCCTATATTGTATATTTATTTCTTTTTGCTTTTTTTAAACATTTAGAATTTGAATTTCGACAAAAAGTTTCTTGAGCATGCAAACTAAACCACAGAGGTTAAGACTGTATTGATTTTTTTTTTCCAAATTTTGGGCTAAGTATATTTGAACAGCTGGCCAATGATATGCACTTCGCCTGTTTCACTGTTTCTTGTGTGTGCATGGAAGTATTGTAAAAAGAATTGTACTCGTTCATTTATAGTATTATACATTTATAATGTGGAAAGCTATTGTATAGAAGGATGAATCTTAATTAACTCAGTCCAATTATTGTAAGAACGTATTATTCTGTCAATTGTGATTATAACTATTTTAATGGAGAGTCCAAGGCCAAGTCAGTGTGGGCTTTGATGAAGAAACAAGTTGGAGTTCTTGTAATATCAGAACAACTGCATTCAGTATACATTAACAAAAACATAACATCAATGTCTGTAGGAAAATATACAGTTAAAATTGTCCAAGATGGCCATCAATTGTTGAGGAGTGTGATTGTATTAGACAGGTAGACGTCGTCAAAAATGTCATTATAAAAAATTGGAAAGGGGAAAGGTGGGAAGTGCTCATTTGTACAAGTGATCATCTTGGTCAGGTGGCTGTTAGAGCAGGTTCAACTGTATTTGAATTTCAGAATATGATTTATGCATTATTCCCTTGAACTTGTAGTTTCTCTTAAAATTAAGTCTATAGTGGGATAGTATTGACTTCTTGGTAGTCTAAGCTTGACCCCTATTGACTGGGAGACCTGCTTAGATGCCCATTGGCTCATCAGATGTTCAGAAATTAATATTTTCCAATATAGTATGCCTGGGTTTGCCTTGGGAAGCTTAGTCAGAGATAAAAGCATATTGTGCTCCACAGCTGTTTTACTTTGAAAATAGCCCGACTCAATGAATCAATAACAATCTTATGAATGTAGACATGGAGTAACTTTTACGTGTAATGACTTTTCATGGTTCACTATTTTCTTTTTAAGTCCAGGGTATGTGATTGATTAACAATAGTGATGATGAGAAAATTGTCCATAGTGCAAAAGCTGTCGTAATTTTTTTCCATTTCTTTGAGTAAATGGTAAGCCTTCTTTTAATTTTCATCCATGAAATGGGTCTCGACTGAATGGTGGTTTGAAATGAGCATTCCTATTTTCATGAGTTCAGAACCTGTTAAAATTCTGAGGCAGCTGAACAACATAACACAATGCACCAAGAATTTATGCATTTTCATGACAGATGTGCTGTGCTCTTGTTTTATTACCCAAGCCTGTCAAAGCATCAGCTGAATAAACTTTTGCATGGTGAAGATTGTTCTCAGAGTGCCACTCATCTTTTTTCTGTAAAGGATCGTCCTTTTTATTTCACAGCTCAAATTGACTATCATCTCATTTTTATGCCATTCTCCAATTACAAGTAAAAATGCCCTTGTTACTGTTGCTGTATCGGAGTTGTGTTGTGTGTGGCTAGAGAAATGTGTAACAGCAGTGCTTGGAATAATCATTTTCAGCTGTGCACTGAGTGCTGTGATGATTCAATCTGCAGTTGTGTTGATCATTTCATCTGTGTTGCAAGCACTCTTTGTAACCAACTGAACCACAATTTTACGGGAGATAAAAAATTTCTTTTTTCAAACTTACCAGTACTGATGTCTGCACACTTGTACAGCATGCAGCTTGCGTAAAGGAGATCAGTGTTGGTTCGTTGAAAAAAAAAAAGCTTTTGAAAATAGTTTTTTAATTAACACAGATTATATCACAACTTTTCTTTAATCACAATGTTTTTATAATGATGGCTAGATGCAAGAGTCCGACAAACTTCATTTTACAAATGGCATTTGTCAGTGTTTTGCACCCAGTCTTCATTAAGTAAATAGAGAGATCTGCGTTTGAAATTTTCAAATGAGCAAAAAAAGAAGGTATTTTATTTTTAGTGAAACTGCGTAGATTGCCCTCAGCACTAACAATTTGTGATCCTGGAAAAGAAAGCTGTAGTTCTTTACACACAATGATTGAGAGAACATATGATTTACCATCACCCCTAACTCCTTAACTGAGTGGAACAGCAGGTTGAGGTTTATCCTCTGGCAGTGTCACATAGTTTAGACAGTGATTAATCTTTTAGTGCCAATTGTTTCATATATTTAAACAAAAATTTGGATGTATTTGTTGTTTTTGGAGGGGGGTTTTGGGGGGATGGGGGTTCTCAAAATAGTATTAAATTAATAAATCAGCCTCAGAGGTTTTCAATAATGTTGCCTTTATAATATCAGTGTAGGGTCAAAATCACAATTTGCATGCCTACCCTTTTTGTTGTGGGCAGCAGAGGGTTAATTTACCCTGGCTTCACATTCTAGTTTCTGTTCCTCTAACTCAATTTTTTTATCAGACATTGTTGTTAGGCAAGGTAACTCGACAGGGCTAGAATTTATTAGGCTATGGCAAACAGAATGTTGCAAGATATATTACATTAGCATTCTGTTGGATCGGTTTGTAATTCTCCTTTAGATTACTCACCTGGTTGATTTCATTTGCTTTTTATTTTTCAATTTTTATTTTTGTTTCAAATCCCAGAGTGCATGATCACAGAAATTGTCATATTCAAAGGAAGTATCTGTTACGTCAGTCTTAGAATTTAACTGCTTGTTGCAGCTTATGCGCAAATTATTCCTTAAGAGACATGAACAAATTGAAGCAAGAATGTGTTATGTGAAGATGTTGGTTCAGGTTGAGTGACAAATTGACAGCTGTTGTGTTTTTGCAATGCTTTGAAAATAAATATTCATGTCAAGCTTGGATTGATTGTCAGAGTAATCCTTATAGCACTATAGACAACTACAGTTATTACAACAGATTGTGGGGTTTCACGTCTTGAATTGGTCACTTTTAAGGACAACCGGGCTACCCAGTTTTCGGGGGTTTCCAGAAAACTTGACCTACACCAAAAGTGGATATTGCCCTACCTATAGGAGAAGTTTGGTTTCATTGGTGTGTATATTTGTTAGGTTATAGAGAAAACTCTCCTCGTCTTTTAAAGAAACTGAACAAGGGGCAAAAACTTTACTTTCGATTTTCTCAAAACAGCATTTTTCGGGATAGCCCCCTTGTGCTTAAAAGCGACCAATTCAAAGATGACAATTTCTCTTTCCAGTCTTATACACAGTGGTGGTCCATAACCTTTCTCTTCAGGTCTTCTAAATCAATTACATGTACTCAAAGGTGTCCACAGACTTGTGCTGTGGTGTGGTTTACTTCTTCTTTCCTATCAAACATTTATCGTCCTTATCTCCCCCTTCTTCTTTTTTATGTAACACTTCTTGTAACACCTCTAATCTTCTGGCGCTCATATGACCTTATGCAGTTGCGAGCGTCGTAAAACCTCTACTGAAAAAACATTTTTTTTAAAAAGACTTGTGCTGCATATATTATGACAGAGTACATTTTATATTCCAATACGCCTGACTGTGAGGGCAGACATCACCTACATAAAAGGCTTTTACCAAGTGTGGTACCAGCACTATGCCAGTTCATTTCACAAAAAGCACAAGCTCATCCAACTCTTCCCACAGCAGGAAATCAATAGCTTTTCTCTACCTTTGCTATCAGGCTGGAGACCAGAAAATCTGACAGCACAGACCTTCAAACAAAAACATAATCACTTCGTGAAAGTCTGGAAGTTTGTTCCCCTCACATATATTTTGCTTCAAAGGGTTCATTTGACTTGTTCCGGTAGGACAAGAAAAAAAAAGACAGACAAATGCATTCTCACCATCTTACTTAAAGCAGAAAACACAAATCAAGATATGAAAAAGAGCCAAACATAGGTCAGTTTGGGGTCTTGAAATTTATGAATATTACCATTAATAATAAAAATCAGTCACAAGTGAAGAAAAGAGTCTTAAGAGTGACACTGAAAATATTTTTATCACCCCTCCCTGAGCATAAGACAAAGAAAGAATTCTTTACGTATCCCCAGCAAAGCACAAAATTGACCATGCACTCAGCCCACTGCACAGCGAATTTGCAAGCCCATGGCAGTCTAAGTCAGTACCTGGTTGAAGTCAAAGTTCAGAAAAATTAATCAATTATGTTTTTTTATGTTTAGAGGCCTAAAAGTATATACAAACAGACAGTCAAACACAAACTCTCAGAGAAATCGAGCAACACAGACTCTTACAAAATCGAGCGTGTCACGGATTGTATTTTTGCAGATATGACGGAATACAACACACAGTCACTCAGCTGCATCAGAAAACACACCATCGGTATTAATGCAATAACAAGGGTCCTGTCTCCAGAGTAATTAAAAAATGGAAAGACTAAAAAAAAGTGTAAAAATAAAATTCAAAAATCAAAATCACAAATTTTTTTTAAAGAAAAAAAATCCCGAGTTTGAAAAATATAAACTTTTCACTTTTCTTGCATATTAAGTAGAAAAGACTTCAAGCACTTTCAACTAAATCTTTTTTTTTATCCCCAGTATCTGCTTGCACTAAACAAAAATATCAAAAATAGGTCCAAGATAAATTTAAACTCTAGCCTTCCAGAAGAGTAAAAATCAACACAAAAAACATAAATCTCCACACACATGGACATAACATTATGAAGGCTTCAATCAAAGCTTCTCGGAGTATTTCTGACACTTATGCTAATCCTAAAACATGAAACACAAATGACAAATTGACTAAATTCATGAAACAACTGATTTCATTCTCTGACATCACTAGAGCAAACTTTAAGTTAATATTAATAATAATATACATTATATTAGTATCAGGTCCCACCAAGGACCTTGAGAAAGCCAAAGCTAATATCAATCTAAGGAAAGTTCACTGGACATTGTTGCAAGTTGAATATCTAAAATCATTTTTCGGTGATAAAAGCCAAACAGCCAGATTGATCATTCACCAATCTTTGTCAAAACATGAAGTTTATAGTTTTAAGAATCAGAACGATGAAGGACAGAATGAAACAGCACCAATCTCTTCTCAAAGAATTTCAAAAAGTGATTTGCAAAAAGGTAGGCCGCATGACATTTCTTCATTGAAGAAAAAAGTCTTAAGTAAATTCCTTAATGGCACAAAATAAACACTAATATATTCCTCGGCTTTGGCCATACACATTGTGTATAATTAGATGCAGGTATGCAATTTCAATAGACACTAAGACACTTAAAATAATGGGAAATACAGAATCAAATGAATATTAACTCCATTTTTTGTCTGTATATGTTTGAGAGAGCATCTATCTATCATAATGGATGTGGGCATATGAGTATGAGCAATGTGTGTTGTGTGAAAAAATGTGAGAAATTGTACAAGTTTAATGCCTTTTGCAATACTGTAAAGTTATTTGAGGGGCAGGACCTCCAAATTGAACATCAGTTTCCAAAGGGACAAAGCCAAAAGGAAAAATTTGAATAAAGAGTTTATCCCAAGGACCCTGTCAGACCAAGCTGAACCTTACCCCCCCCCCCCCCCCCCCCCACCTGCAATCTAACAATTACGAGTCCAATAGCCTAACCACCAGACCACTGACGCCCACAAATATGTTTTGAAAGTATCTGGGAGAGTAAATGCCCAATAACAAATGTGTGCAATTTCACAAAGAATGTGTGTGTGTGTGTGTGTGTGTGTGTGTGTGCGTGACCGTGTGGACTCTTAGGCAAATGCAATAATTTAGGTTGAAGATGGGAAATGTTTCAAAATAAAAATGTAACACAAAATACCGCCCCCACAAACATTTGGATTGTTACGACTCCATTTCAATGGATAAAGGATAAAAACAAGTCATTATTTTAAAACAACGCAGGTCTTAACTTCAACTCCTTACTTTCCGTCACGAATTTTTTTAAATGATAAAAGACAAAAAAATAAATTAAAAAACTAGGTAAATTTAAGAGAAAAAAAAGTGCTTTTTATGCCAAGACGTTTAAAATAAATTTATCTTTGAAAATACAACAAACGTTCAAATCCTTTCAATTAAAAATTAAGACTAAAATTTCCCCACCCTCACATCTCATCAGTATTTCATAATCGGCTGGAAAAAAACAAAAAAAAACAACTTGAAGATCACAGAGTCATAAGAGGAGGACATTGTGACTTATCCAGCCATGTCGTCAGGACTTGTATTCAAGTGGTCTCCCCTGTCCAGGTCCCTTGTCACTTCTAGTACCAGACGGATACTTTTGCTCTTGCTTGGCAAAGGCATCAATGACAGCTTGTCTGAAAGAACACACAAGACAATGTTTGCATATTGGAGTTAGAGCTGTTGGTTTATTTACTTAGAGATTACCCTTTCTTGACCTATACAAGACAACCTGCACTGTACCAGCGTCTGTGGTGTTGCGGTTAAGCACTTCATGCTGCAATCATAGGACCTGAGTTTGATTCCCGTGAGGGCACAATTTTTATCGGGTAGCCCAGACTTTCTGCTGGGATGCTGTATCCCTCTCAAACCAGGTTGGCCTGAGAGGTAGGGTGAAAAGTAAATTTTCTGAATTGTGCGGATGGGTGCATAAAAACATTCTATTAAAAATTATTTTAGATTTTCACTGTAGCGTACTTTAAATCAAGCACCGACAGTGGCAACTAAAAGGACAATGTATCATATGACCTGCTGCCTTGGTTAAAAAAATCTTAAAACTTGAGTAAAACTTCAAAGCAAAAGGACAAGGTACTTACAAAGCTAAGTGAGCAAGTATTGTTAGACTATTCTTTTCTCATAACAGGTGTTTCTCAAAGGGCTCACTGAGCTGCTCAAGCCAAAGTACCAATTCAAAAGAGACCCAGATCAAAGAACTCACCATGAAACTGGTTTTATTATTATATGTTAAAGGTCTATCTGTAAATACTATTGCTGAACAAAATTGAAACACAGGGTTTTAAAATGTTTTTTTATTTAAATAATGTGAGGTTAAGGATTTTGAGTGGGTGCGCATATAAAACTTTAGAGTACGAAAGTAAAAATGTACCTTAATTAAATTTATACGTGCCATGAGGAACGTACACAAATAAATTAAAGTTATTTTTTTAACACTCTACCACAAAAAAAACTTCACTTTTTAAATGTACCCTGAGAATGCTAATTGCTAGGTTGGGAGGTCAAAAACTCTCTGGGAGGTCCTTTTCTCATGTACCTCCATTTATCTTGAACTTTCTCCGACCATTTGAGGGTAATAAAGTTGGAAGCAAAATCAAAATTCATTTTTTTAAAAACCTTATGAAACACCACTTCGATAGTTCATCTTTCTTGTTCATAGTACTTTTGTTTCCATAATGATGAGCATATCGCCATCAAGAGTGCTGTGACAGTATAAATGTCAGACCCTCAAAAACGTATCAAATGTGTTTTTTATGTGATGGTTGACAGATAAGCATCTCTGTACATCATCATTATCAGTATCATTATTATTATTATTATTATTATTTGCTCAGCCAGTGTCCCAACTCACCTAAAGACGCGCTGATGCCACAATACTGCCCCAACATGGCCGTTGTCGATGTAGCGCACCTCACAACCTGGCCACAGTTGGTCAAGGCCTATCACTCCGTCTCTGGGTATGTACGCATCTTGTTTGGCTGCAATGATGATAATCAGCTCAGGATCTACAGGAACCGAAAAATTTCCCAAGTGCGTGCACTCATCCATCACTCCGCACATGAAGTCCAGAGCCTCCTGCTGAAGAGTTTTCAGTTTCTCCTCTTCCGTCGGGAGCGACGATGGCTGTCGGCTGAGTATCAATTTCGACTTAGATAAAGCATGTTTGAGAGTCAGAGCTCCAGAAACGCGGCCAGGTGAGGGAGATGATAACTTTGCCTGCTGGTTTGTTTTTGCCTGGGCATAACTGACGGTCAGAGGTTTAACAGAGTCTTTCCGGCTCGAGCGCTTGGGTTTTGCTTTACCAGAGTTTTCAATCACAGTGGCAGTCTCCACTTCAGGTGCTGAAACCCCAGAGGTATGTGGTGAGGCTGACTTAGAATGATCAGTTGACTGAGATGTGGCAACAGAGGAAAACACCCTGGAATCAGTCCCGGCTGACGAAACAGTTTTGTGGCCTGTGGAACTCTGGAAAGGCTCATTGGAAGATTTTGAGTTCCGTATTCCAGTGTGAGCAACGTACCCCTCTAGAGACAGACTGACATTTACCTTGGAGACATCCCCTTTAAGGTTCTCATTTTGTGCAGCTTGTGATGGATGACCTGGAGTCCCACTTTCTACCACACTTGGTCCAACTTTAGAATTACTGTTCTCAGAATTTATTTCCTTGGAGGAAGAACGTAGATCAGCCGTCGTTAGGGAACCTGGTGCCACGCCCTGAGACAAGATGGCAGTATGGGCGACTGCTGATGCCCCTGCTTCCTGTTGTTGGTGGAGGCTTTCCATCTCCGGCATTCTGTCAGCATAATTCTTCACAAAATCCTGTCCCATGTCATAAGCTTTTCGCCTGTTCTGAAACCCGAAACCAAAAAGCTGTACTCAATACATGAACTGAACGCAACCAGTTTTATTTCTTATTTGTAAGGATGCCACCAAGCTCTGGCATTATTTTTTTTTTAGTAAGAGTTTTACGGCACTTGCAACACAATAAGGTTATAAAAGTGCCGGAGATTAGAGGTGTTACAAGAGAGCAACAAACAAAAAAAAAGAAGGAGAGATGAGGATGATAGATGTTTGATAGGAAAGAAGGAGCAAACCACACCAGAGCACTTGCCAACCACCCACTTGCAAAATTTTTGGACTTGTTCATAGTATTTGTCACCATTATAAGCATACGGCAAAAAGCAAACAACCAAACATGACAGAAAAAGAGAAAGAAATAAGACCATGGTGATTCCAGATTTCTTTTTAAAATAGCACCCCATGACACAGGAAATACTCCAGAAGCAGGAGCTTGCAAATTTGAAAATGATTTATCTGTTTTAAAAAATGTGCTGCCTCTCCACAATTAGCCAAACTGTCTAAGCCTAAGAGATAAACAATGGTTGATTATAATACCTGACCATTCATGACCAAAATATTACAGATCTGTACGTGAGCTCTGAAAAAATTGCCTGTAATTGTAATGGTTTTTGCCCTTAAATCTGCAGGGGAGATCACAGCTACGAAAGGCTCAATTTTCCTTATGGTCAGCTAAAAAATTGACGGAAGACTTGCAGGTCTGGCACAAATCTAGTTTCATAAATAATCAGTTCCCCACTGTGTTCTTGGGAAAGATAGTTGGCATTAATTCATTTTCTCCATCCGCCCACAAATGCCACAAAAACAGTTAACTGAACAACAATCCATTTGGAAAATCCCCCAAAAACACAATTTTTTAAAGGTATATCTGTAAAAATGGCACTCTGAGCTAATCCACACAAACCTGTTCCGGAGATACAATGAGCTTCCTTATTTCATCCTGGTAGACATTGTTCTCAAAGAACTGTTCTTGTAAAGTGTGCCACGGAATAGCCCCACTCATGACGCCCTGTGAGGGTTTGGAGAATGGGGTGGGAATGCACAAAGTTACTATCGTTCCTGTAGCCATTCACATGTTCAATATAATGTAGCAACTCTTTTTAAATTCAAATGATCATGGTGTCCAAATTCCTTGGCAATGAATGTGCTGTTCAAGATACAACTGAGGTGGGGGTTTTTATATGGGTTGTCTTGAGAAAAATTGTTACAAAAATCACTGAGTGAATTCCACTTCAAAAACAGTGGTAAACTGAAAGAAAAGAAAATCCTTGATTTTTTGCTTTCAACTCGAGCAATCACTCTAAACCAAAAATATTGCTAAACTGAAAAAAAAAATCCATCAGTCCCACAAATGTTGGCCTAAATACAGTTCACTCAATAAAAGAAAAGATCTCATATACATAATCCTTAACATAAAGCATACCACTGAGAGGAAATAATCTATTAAGTTAAATCACTTAATAAGGTTGAGGAATTTCGAACAATCAATTTTTTAACATCTAGAATCGACATACATTAAATCAGTATCTTACCACTATATCCAAGCAATATTGTGGTGAACTGGCTACATCATGAAAACAAATACATTCACACTCACAAAAATTGCAAACAAATGCATACAACTGCAGACTTCAGACATAAAAATAGACATGTATGCATCCCAGATGTTACCTATCTCCATTCACTTTCTCTCTTCAACGAAAGAAAAAGAACAAAGAAAAAAAAAAAAGAAAGATGTGCATGATGTGATGCTAGAGATGATGTAAAAATACTTACAATTGCACTGGATGTCCCTCAATTGGTCTACACCCACCTGTGTCACCACACAATCTTGCCAAATCAAGATACAATACATTTATGGGTAGCTTCCATTAGAAAAGACAAAGAAAAGATGAGAAAATACTTACATCAGATGGTCCGCAACGCAACACATCAGATAAACCATCTTCAGTCAAAGAGAACAAATTGCTTTCAGTGTACCAAAAGAAAGAAATAACCGGAAAAAAAATTGTTTTTAATATGTGCATAAAGAACCAAGCCTGCTTGCATGCAGGTACACAGACATAAAATAAAAACACACAACATATGCAACAAACACAAACAAACAACACAGCAAAACAAAACCAACAAAAATATAATTTTTAAAGGAAAATTTGACACACTTTTACATGTCTTCGAACAAACCTGAGTGAAAACACAAGACGCCGTGCTCCAGGACAGACAAGGAATGAGGGGGATAGGCTTGGTCCAGTTTGTTGCAGCAAGTGAGGCCATCTGCCCATGCCAACAAAGTGGCAGAGCATAGAAATGTGAAAAAAAAAAAAAAAAAAAAAGCAGGAAAGTTAAATGAAATGCAGGACACAAAAGGCCCCTACTTCTCCGTTCTTTTCATTTGTCTTTTAAAATTTTTTTTTCGTCAAATCTCTTTGTCCAGAGCAAGAGAATACCTGTCTGTTGAAAGAGGGGATAAAAATCAGAAAAAGGAAAAAAAGACCCAATTACAGGGGCTTCAAGTCACCAGACCACAGCTAAAGGAGCAAAAGCTGAGACCAGTAGCATAGGTACGTCTGGATCCATATCCTGCATTCCAAAGCAAAGCATACTTACCACATCTGCAAGACAATGAGGAACTTTGGATGAATTATAAAGTACAGTCGAACCTGCTGTAACGGCCACCTGTCCAAATTCCCACTTCCCTAACTGCCTTTTTTTCTTCATTATAATGACACTATCTCAGACTTTCACCTGTCCAAGACAACCGCTTTTATGTTCACCTATGGGTAGCCATCTTGGACAATTTCGACTGTATGTGCACCCAAAGATCCACATTGTTACCCCTCACAGCAGTACGACACTTTCTTTTAATGAACATATCACTGTTGTCACGGTTAGGCTTACAAATCAGAGAGCCACAATGTGTTACCTCAGTAAAACTAATGGAGGCAGTTGTCCATGACAATATGGGAACGACTGACAGAGGCTTGGGCCACAAAGTCGCCACTCCACTTGCCATCTGAAAAGCCCAGAATGATCACACAAAGAGTAATCAGTCCTCTCTTAAAACATGTCTCAACACCCTTTGGCTCTTTTGAATTCCTCATGTACAAATGTGCTGATTTTTAATTTCAGAAACCACAGCCCAAACTGATCACATGCAGACATGCTGGGGACTGGGGGGGGAGGGGGGGAGGACGAAGAGACTCCTTTCTTATGTAGACAAAATGTCAGTCTTGTAGTGTCCTACGAATTATTATACCAAGTACGGTATTAGATTACCTCTTCTGAGATCAGGGTTTAATAAACACACACACACCTTTCGAGTCCAACAATGGCGCACTTCCACATGTGCTTACTTTATGAGCTAGCCCCACAACACAGCAGGACCTCAACTGAAAGGTGAAGGTTTCAATCCCCGACTCTACTTGAAAAGAGAGTGATACTTCCAAAAGGGCAAACAGATACTTGGAAATCGTTGTTGTTGTTGGCTTTGGAGGTGGTTTTTTTTTTCGTTTCTTTGTTTGTTTGTTTGTTTTTGGGGGGGGGGGGGAGTATGGAACAAAAAAAAAACATTTTAAAAAATACTTGGAAATCAAAGAAACAGGAACTTGTGCATGATGACCCCCTGGAAAGTCCTGAAATGGTAACAATAAATGTACCGGCTGACTCAGGGATTTATAGAGAAGTAAAGCGAGCCTTCTATTGGCACATTTACAAATTCATAAGATATCCCTCACATTTCAACAAAAGAAAGTCAAGACTAGATTTCTCCAGTCTGCATGTCTACTTTCCCTTTTCAACACAAAACCGTCATTCTCTTATCTCAGAAAACAGTAGCAAGGCATGCCACATGGCACTTTCTTTGTCAATCAAATGTGCTTTGCCAAACCAATTCAGAATGACCTCAAATTAACCCTGACCACAGGGTGCTCTCATGGCCTCTCACTGCAGCAAGCAATCTGCACAATCAGCACAATCTCATGTTGCTGAGGACCCACAGAAAGTTACCCATATTTTGGTGCAAAGTTTTGCCCTAGCTACCTCGTCAGTATACCCAGAAAGCTAGGCAAACTTCACATGAAAGATTGTAACTGCTGAAGATACTCTTTTTCATATGTTGGCATTGGTTTAAATATTTTCTTTAATTTCAACAGCAAAAATTCCAAATCAAGCCCAAACAAGTGCACTACTATCCGTAGAAATCCCCACGCTGAATACTAGGAAGTCTGACTTTCATGCAGAAAATAGTCAAACCTTCTCTAACAGCTACCTGTCCAAGATAATCGCCTGTACAAACAACCACTTTCCACTCCCACTCTTGCAGGTTTTTGAAAGTACTATGACACTGTTCAATATGTCCCACTGCCTAAGACAGTCAGTTTTCTCAAAGATAATGGGTGGGTGTCTTGGACAATGTTGACTATATTAAAATAAAGTCAGTGAGTGGGGGAGAGAAATGACCTGGTTTTCAAGCTGGAAAATCTACTCCAGTCTTTGCTGATTGATAAGAAGTCAGATGAAATAATAATTATGTTGCGCTGGGTATTTCTGAAGGTTTTACCCTGAAGGGATAATTATGAACAAAGACAGACCACTGGTCCTCTGATAAAGAGAATTTGTCTTCTTTCTACAACTCTGAACACTAATTGTTTCTCAGACAATTCTGACTGTACTCACATGTCCTCCCATGGAGACTCCAGAGATGCCTAGTGGCCCCCAGCCTTCTCTCTCACACCAGTGCAGCAGCGCCAAGGACTCCAGCACTAAGGCCCCACCCATCACAAACAAGTCGCTGACATTGTGAAGACTAGATCGTCTGGGGAAAACACAGGTATCTGATAAAGGAGCCAGAATATTGAGGGCAAAATGACATGTGAGCACAGGTGCAAGCCTTCCTATCTGTGTGCTTCTGCATACGGCAAGAATACGTTGCTACGGGTAACTAATCAATAAAAGAACACAACAATCTTCAAACCACATCGTTCTTTAGGAAACCATAGTTTAAGCTCATTCAGGGTGTCTGCAGGAATCATGTCGTGAACATTTAAGAACAGTTTTTTCAAGCAAGACTAAAAAGGCTTTAGCTTTCTGAACAATAAAAAAACCAAATATTTACTACTTACAGTTGTTCTTTTGGTTTTCGAGACCCATCTAAAGAACAGTAGTCAAGGGAAACAACATGCCAGCAAACTCATAAAAAATTCACTAAAAGCACGCTCTATACACTTTTCAGCTATTACCTTCCCAGCAGACCCTAGAACAACACTAAGAAAAATTCTTGGCCTCCCACGAAGCTGCGGATTACTCCCGCTAAAACACTAATAAACTGACATATCTTTTATACCATCGCCAGATATTCATTACCACCTGAACAAACTGAGGAAGATTTGTGTAAAGTGCTTTTTCAAGGAAACAACGTCGGGCCTGATACCCAAAGTTTAGCCCCCAACCTTACAGTTGAGAATCTGGGAACCCAACCACTAGAGCACCTACGCTGGGAGGATGAGCACTAACTACCTAAGACTGCAAACACAGTGGATCCGGCGGCGCGGGCGTTTTCTGCACGAAGCGTGAGTTGACCTCTGTGACCTAATGCCTCATTAACAGAAGGTATGGTACGGTCTTTTTTATCACTACCAAAATATGTGTTGGCGCCACAGTGGTTACCTCGCGTCTGTTTCACGTCTGCCAATTTCCAGTCGCGAAAAATTCTTCACGAAAGTTTTTTTACTGCTGCACTAAAAACCTCCCGACTTTCGACCACCAAAACTTTGTATCCTTTTGTTCTAGCCGTACATCTTGCACTTGTTTCGCTAAAATCATGGACCCTTGTGAAAGATTAATTGAAGAGGTGCAAAAGCGGCAAGCTTTATTTGACATGACAAACGACAATTATTGCATCAGAGTGTATCTGAATAAGCAATGGACTGAGCTTGGAGAAAAGATAAATTTGGAGGGTAAGTGGCATTGTTTTTAATACTTTTTCATTCTGTCTGTCTGTCTGTCTGTCCATCTGCCACTCACCCAATCACACACACACACACTCTCTCTCTCTCTTTATTTTTAGTCATAACACACCTGATACCACGGCCCACTGTGTTTGTACCTCACCTAACAAAAACTAATCGTGCAGAAAACACCCACCCGCCAGATCCACTGTGTTTGCAGTCCAACACCCACCCTCACCTTTTTTTTTTGGTCGTGCCCCCTCACATGCCCCTTTATTGAAGCACCACACATGAAAGGCACAAATTTCAAATTAAAGGTAAATGATGTGCTAAAAAATCAGAGCTGTCTGGAACTGACAACTTTCCCTTAATCTTTTTATCTATAACAATCCTATAAACAGTAAACCTCAGTTCAGACACAGATACCCATGTTCCACAGCGACAATAAGCAAAGAACACAAAACCACCTAGTGTTAACAAAGACAAAACTGCACAGAGGGGGGCCTATTGTGATCGACACGATGCAAAACCAGAGCAACAAAGGATACAATATGGATTTTCCAGGATTATTGAGGCAATCCCAGCTTCTTTGAGTAGAGGTCTAGCTGTAAGTAGTCTTCTTCTCCAGTAAAACTGTTGAAAAAAGAAATAATGAGACATCATATACTTTGTACAGATTTTCAGAATACCTGTTTTAAGTTTTCATAAGAGTTTTACGGCACTTGCAACACAATTAGGTCATTTAAGTGCTGAAAAATAGATGTGTTACAAGAGACTAATATACAGAAAGAAAAAGGAGGAGAGATAAGGACAATACATGTTTGATAGGAAAGAAGGAGCAAACCACACCAGAACACCCGACAACCACCCACTGAATACTTGTTTACTTGTCTAATATAAAGCTTAAGTAACAATCATCAGGTAATTCCTTGAGTCTATGAACTAAGTCTACAAAACCCTGATAAAATCATTGGACACCACCGGAAAAAAAAAGCAATTGAAGAAAATATCTTCTGTAGACACAAACGTCTGAATGCAAAGCAACTGAAAGATTAATCACAAGAGATAAAGCTTATCAACATACTGGAAAAAATGAATTTTTAAAAAAAGCTTTTGATCCTCAAGATTTATATAGTACAGCCAAGACCACCTCCCACTGTTAGGAGACAGTGACTGTCTTAAACAGGTGAGCGTCTAAGACAGTGCCATTATAAATACAAAAAAACGCAAGGGGGAAATGGGAAGTGGTTGTCTGAACAGGAGATTGTCTTGAACAGTGGCTATTAGAGCAAGTTCAGCTGTACTCTGTATTGAAATTAAACATGCTAAAGTAACTTTGACTTACATGATCTCCAGTGCCAGCCAGATGTATGCACACAGGTCGGTGTATTGGGTGACGCCACTGCACAGGCAAAATCATCTGAAAACTAACACAAAGCAAACGATGTTACTACACGAGCAGAATAATTCTTCCCTCAGACTACTTAGTTTTATTCAAAGCCTTTTTTACTTTTAGAACCTGTGACAGATTTGACACCCAAGGTTTGTTTTCACAGTATTGGAATGTGCTTTAAAATTCACTTAAAATAATACAGTAGTCTCCGCCTAAGATCCCGGTGCTCAGGAGCAAGGAAATGCGGGATCTTAGGCGAACCGGGATCTTAACCGACGAACCCAGGGAAGAATCTATGGTGACCCATGCTAAGGTTCACAATCGGTAAAATGGTCTCCCTCCACTCTAAAATGAACTGACGTGACCGCTTTTTGGGTTTATGACGTATGGCGAGGAGAGAGTGGTTAACCTTGGTGAACTATCACAGTGCATAGTGGGATGAGGCATGCCATTTTCACTTTTTATCCTACCCTGAGTCTCAAGATTTATGCGTATCCAGTTGCCCCTCCCCCTTACCTGTCGAAAATTTATAGCTTTCCATCTCTGACCAAGTCCCTCCCCCCATCCCCACCCCCAACCGCCTTGGTCGTTACACACCATTACGGTGTGAACACACCAATTAAAATTCAGTCTGTCTCGCAAATTCGGGAGTAGAGACAACTTCTTCAATGGTCAGGGAAGAGTTCACAGTTCAATGTGATCCCGCCTGGAGCGAACTTGTAGGCCCTGCCCACCCAGCGAGTGATGTAAGTTTAGGGGGAGAGCTCAGGTGTGAGTGCGATGCGTGGGGAAAACAAACGTGTCGGTCAGTTCACACCCCGGTGTGATCCGGTCTGGGGCAAACATTGTATCACTTCATCGAGTTTTACAACCTGTATGTGATCACAATCACGATAGTAGCTGATCTTTGACGCGACGGACAGTTTATTGATCTCAACTTTTCACTCTTGGTTGATCGGCTGCGCCCACCCGGGTTTTTGTTCCACAAATTATGATCTGAAATGCGGGATCTTAGCCGAATGTAGACCTTCAGAGTGAATCAGAGCGGGATCTTAGGGGTGACTTTTGTATAGTAAAAATTCTGTTTTCCTAAAACAGCGGGATCTTAAGCAAACCGGGACCGTAAGCGGTGGGATCTTAGGCGGAGACTACTGTATACTCAATCAAATATAAATTCAGCATTTTCAATTTTTGTAGTACCCATAGACTATGAGAATCAGTTACATCAGAGATATATAAAAACAGTGAAAGCAAGGAAAGAAATCCACCATGTTTTTTTCTTTTTAAATAAGGCAACTAACTGAGAACATGAACACTGCAAAACAAATATTTGTAATATGATTAAAAAGAGTATAATACTGAATTGCAGGGTATAGACACAAAGACAACTCATGCTGTGTGAAATATGTCAAAGCCTAATACATATACATACTTTGCTGTTTCAACTTCCTTTGGCATAATACCGGGCAGGTGGTGAACGAAAGGAGACAGAAAGTGTCCTTCCAAAACACGACAGTCACCATCCTTGTATTCCTGGATCAAGGAAGGAAAAGATACTTAGTATCTCAATGAAATATCCTCCATGTCCAAGTCTAAAAGTGTATGTGCATGAACACTGGTTTTCAGAAAAGTGGGAAAGAGCAATTTCTTTCTCATTATCCACCAGAATTGCTCTAAGTTTATAAACTGAAAGATGAAAAAAATGTCCAACATATCCATTGCTCATAAAACATACAGGGAGAACAATGTACTTGAAAGAAAAAAAAATTGAGAAAGGCAGGAAAGTAACAAGCAAAGAACAAGTTCTCTTAAATAGCATCATCAAAATGTATCACTCTGGTTTTACTTTTTCCCTTTTCCTTTTAGATTCTCCGCCATGTATAGAAACAGAGATGCCATCATAGGTGGTTGAGGGGCGCTCGGGTGGGGTTTGCTCCTTCTTTCCTATCAAACATGTATCATCTTTATCTCTCCCCTTTCGTTTTATTGTATGTTACTTTCTAGTAACAACTCTAATCTTCGGCTTTTATGTGACCTAATTGTGTTGCAAATGCCATAGAACTCTTACAAAAAAACTAAAACTAAAAAAGAGAGGCTATCACAACAATGACAATTCAAAGAAAGAGCTGGCAGCTCAAATGCAATGTTAGAGGTATTTGAAAAGATTAAACAATTTATGAAACACAGCATCAAGAATGATAAAAATGACATTACTCATTACTATTATTTTGCAAACAAGTACTTTTTGGTAAACAGTTTGATGTCCATTAGTCTGCCAGCATAGAAGAATCTGAGAATAAAGCTACATAACGTCCCTCTAAACACGTACTAGCGTCAGCCACATCTGACCCGAAATCAAGTTATACCAATCACACGATTCCCTTTATCCGATACTACATCCTCTCAAAAGATCGTAGGAATCGAGCAATAAATAGCTGAGATATAGTCGATTCCAGTTTGAACGTATCCCACTTGCCCACAAAAAGATACAGCACGTACTAATACACTGTTGGTTACGTTAATGCGGGACGTACACTTTGACCCATTGTTGTGTTTTTATTATACGGCACAAACTAACGTAAGCCACACAGCCAGGGCTGAGCCTATGGCAAAAAAACACCGCGCAGCGCTTATTCTAGAGAGCGGGAAGACAAGCTAAACTACACACTCACACACGTGTGCAGTGTGCTTCGAGTGAGGCTGTGAATGCTCAGACTTCACTTCTAGAAGTCCCTTTTTACTCGTCCTTTGTTTACAAATGGGATCCCGCTCTGAACAACCACTCTTTCTTTGACATGTAGCCCTATTGTTCAAACTCTGATTGACTTTCAGAACCCTGGTGAAGTCTTAAACTCACAGACTGCATAAGTCATGGGTGTCCTATTGCCACTGAGAACTTTAAGGGACAAATAGATACACGTAGGTGCTTCAAGGACACTGATATGCTTAGTGAGGCAGACAGTGATGAAATGTCTGTATGTGACTACGACTCAGAAGGCGATCCGGAATCCAATTCTGGAACATGCGAGGCTAGAAGGTGCAATGCTGAAGTATGGGCAGCTTGCCCTGATTGTGAAATCCTTCTTTGCTTTGATCATTTCAATGAAGAGATTGCATCATGTGTTTAACATGGGAAAAACACAAGAAGGTCAAAGGAAAAAATACAACGTGTAAAAGCTGTAGGTAGGCCCTCAAAGTTTAAGATTCCCGCTGGTGTGAATGTGAACACTGATGCTCCCGATCAGTTTCTGACAAAGGAAACAGTCATTGATGAGGGGGGTGGAAGAATGCAAAGATTAGTTCCCGAGCAGTACACAGTGCAGGGAAGTGAGAAAGAAGTTAGAAAGGAAAAGAAACTCAGATCAAACAAGGAGAAGGAATCCAAAATGAAGAGGAATTTGGGACAAGAGTACACAAGCATGCAGAAAAAATGACTGCCCACCAAACACATAAAAGCAAAATGTAAAGGAGACACGTGTACAAAGCACAAGAAACAATGCTCAACAATTACTGACGAGCAGAGTCAGGCCATTTTTTATTTGTATCACTCCCTTGGAGATCTAAGAATGAAACAGAAGTGTCTTGTGAGGCATGTCAAAAGCTGTAAAACAAAGAGGAAATACACTGAAGGCGAATCACGAAGAAGAAATACCAGACAGTACATGCTTACAGTTGGGGAGAGTTTTGTTCCAGTCTGCAAATTGTTTTTCTTTAACACTTTGGGCATTTCAGAACAAAGTGCCAGGACGGCATTGAACAAAGTTACTTCCACTGGCATAGCTGAGAAGGACAAACAAAGTGGGAGACAATCTGAGGCAGAAAGAGAAAAAGATGCATTTGTGCGCAAAGCAATATCAGATCACTTGGACAGACTTCCAAAAGTCTAATCTCATTACTGTAGAGAAAAATCAACAAGAGAGTATCTGAGCCCTGAACTCAGAAAACGGCACATGTACCACAGGTTCATCCAGGAATGGATACCCAGAACAAGGCCATCAAGCTTCACGACATACAACCATGTACTCAAAAGTAAAAATCTGTCAATCCACCGACCCAATAAAGACCAGTGCTCTCTCTGTGTCAATTATCATCAAGGAAATGAAGAAACAAAGATATGTCTTGGGGAAAAGTTTGAGATCCATGTGGGAGAAAAAGAAAAAGGTCAGGGAAATAAAGGATGGATGCAAGTGCGAGAAAGAAGCTCAGGAAAGTGGAAACATTCTCTGTGCAAGTTTTGATTTGCAGCAGGTCATTTACCTCCCTATGTCTCAGGAGAGTGCCATCTTTTACAAAAGGAGGTTGTCGAACTACACCCTGACTTTGTATAACATTGCTAACAGAGATTGTTACTGCTTCGCTTGGGATGAAACGCAAAGCAAACGAGGATCCTCGGAAATTTCAACTACAGTCCACCGTGCCCTAAAGTTTTAGGACGACCGTGGCATCAAAAATGCTTTTCTTTTTGCCGATGGACGCAGTGGTCAGAACAAAAATTCAATTACGCCTGCGATGATTTTGTACAGTGAGCAATAGTGTGAATCTTGAAGAGATTTCATTGAGGTTCTTTGAAACAAACCATGGTCAGAACGAGGGTGATTCTGCACACAGTGCAATAGGACATGCTCTGAAGAGGGCAGGGGATTTGTTGCATCCTTCTCAGGTAGCAACAGTGATGTCTTTCGCTCGACCTCAAAGGCCTTACCAGGTGAATCAGATGCAGTCTAAAGACTTTCTGGATCTCAAAGCCTTATCAAAAGACTTCAGAATCCTGGACGCACGAAGAGGATCTGATACAGAAGACTCATTTTCGTGGAACAATATTATGGAACTGCGAGTTACTATTTTTAAAAATCATATACAGTTGACACCTTCATATTCCGAGTTGCAGTTAACATTATCATTTGTCACGGATAATACAGCCCGTGAATTTAAACCAAATTGATCTTTCTTTGTATTTTTATTGTTATTTGGAAGTTACCATTTAGGCGTAAGCCACGCAATGAACGTATATATAGTATAATATACGCTGTAGAATACAAAAGCACGTATTAACGTATCCAACAATCTAGTAATGTAAGCCACACATCGAGGCTTTCATTGACGTAGCACGTACTAGCGTATCAGATAAAAAGGTCATTTTTCCTTCAAAACCGACTATTCTCACAAAGATGCTTCTACCCAATTGAAAAGTAGTTGTCCCACACACGTAATGTCAAAATATTAAGGGCAGGATCGGTTATTTGACACCACAATGGGATGGTGAAAATCGCCCAAATCTTTAAACGTCTCTCCTGCAAAACTAACAAAATGTGGCTTACGCTAGTTCGTGTTTTGAGGGACAATAAGTGGCAAAATTTCAATCACATAATTCTGCAGGATAAAAATTATAACTTAATTCACAAAAACACACAAAATTTCATATTAAAAAAACAGATCCATGAATCTGTGAGTTTCTGATGACCATGCCTCAGACAAGACAAGAAAGAAGCAAGTCCCAAAAGGAGCACATTCCTGCCTAAAAGTTTTTACAGATTCAGAAGCATAAAACGCACTTAACTTCACTATATATCAAAAAGGTTTATGCCAAAGAGGAACGAAAATTAAATTCACTGTTGTAAATAAAATAAAGCAAATGTTTATTCAACTTACCTTATCAATATGGATGGGATAATCAGAGGCAACCAAATGCTGACAAGTTTCCCGGTTTGACAGGATTTTACGAAATGCAAAAATCCTGAGGAGAAATTGATACACCAATTTTATTCATTCCAGTCTTATAAGCACTTACATGAATAGACTAACAATATATTGAAGTATTATTTGCCAATAATGCGTGCCGCATAATGCTTAAAGGAAAAAAAAACATGATTTTCACCTTAGATCAGGCAATTTTTTTTAATATAAGGAGGAAAAAAACATAAAAAACTGTTCAAGTATACATAAATGAACCAAAAAAAAAGGTGAAATGGTATGGATTTAACGCCCCTATCAACACTATTAGGTTATTTAAGGGGCGAGACCTCCTAGTTTAACGTCCGTCTCCGATAGGACCGAGCCAAGTGAGAAGTTCGTGTTAAGTGCCTTTCCCAAGGACACAACGTTGGACCGAGCTGAGGCTCGAACATAAATGAACAATCAACATATTTAAGACTATTTAAAGAATTAATTTTTAAAAGTTCACAAAAGTGAGAGCTAAAAACAAAAGACATGTGCCGACTACTTTTGACAACGTCTGTTCAAACCCATTTGTGATGCCATTCAGAGATGAAAACCATTTTCTGCTCACAACCTTCTCAACTTCATCACAGGAAGTGTTACTGGAAAACTGATTATAATTCAAATAAGAACCTACATTAGCTTAACTTGCCTTTTCAAATTGTCCGGTTTTCCCCATCCTTTGGTGAAGAATTTGGAAAGAAGTAATCTACGATACAACTGATCCAATCGACTCCTGGACATATTTTTTTGCTCGCAAAAGCATCTGCCTGATGTCGCGCTTCTTGAAGTATCAAAGACTTCAGCAAGACCCTTCTTGAACCTGAAAATAATAATGCGGCATCATGTATTTAAAAAAGAGGAAATATCAATGTTCTCTAAAATGTACCACAAGCAAATCTACGCTCGAGTTTACAACAAGAAATAATTTGTGTGTTTTTTATGTTGTCTTGTTCAACTTGTTTCTTGATGTTAGTCAGCTGACAACACAGTTAATTTCCCTGACACCTTCTACTTGCCTGTTGCCTGGAACAGGATAAAAGGAGCATCAATAGTGTATACATTTGACATTGCTGAAAATCTGGTAGCTCGAAGTAAGGAACCAAACTAGAGGAATCAGGGATGGGGTAACAGTAACCGAGACTCAAAGGCCTGTTTCGAGTCACAATGAACTCATACAATTGTATGGCATCAATTATAATGCCATTATTTGGATTGATCATATACATATATATATATATATATATATATATATGTGTTCAATAATGACTGTATAGCACCGAGTCAGCCTGAAAACCGACGAAGAGAAAAAATGACAGGAAACAATAATTCTTATTATAATAACAAACACCTCTCTTTCTCCCTCTTTCCCCCGCCCCCCCCCCTCCTTCTCTCTCTCTCTCTTTCCCTCTCTTTTTCTCCCCCCCCCCTTCTCTCTCTTTCTCTCTCTCTCCCTCCCTCTCCTCTCTCTCTCTCTCTCTCTCTCTCTCTCTCTCTCTCTCTCTCTCTCTCTCTCTCTCTCTCTCTAACACACACACACACACACTGCCCGCAGACAAAATTGCATGCGTTCAACTCAAGAGCGCTGGAATCTTTGTGTACGCTCGTATCACAGGCCGTAACGTGCTAACACAAGGGCACGCCCAAGTCTCGCCGGGACACGAGAAGGGAAATTGAAACATATTGGTATACACGATCTTTGGGGTCAGTATGGTGCTGCATTGGGGGAGTGAATAATGTAAACTTTGTACATGATGTACTTTGTGTGCGTGCATGTGGTTGTCTGAATATGAAAGTTATGGCCAAGTTATGGGAAGCGATTAACACCGCTATGGAGTACTTCTGAACATGCGACTAAACGTAGAACGACGCAACTTCCTGATTGGTTGCTAATTTTAGTAATGTGATGTCATCATTTCCTGGGATACCTACAGGTTATTTTTATAAGGCCATGGACGTACCAAAGACAGTGTATACATGATACAGTAGAGAATCTTTGGAGGTACTGCATGGAATGTCATGTATGGTCAGTGGCTAGACGTATTATCCGTATCGATGTGTTTCGCATGGTAAAATTTCACACTAGAGGCTAACTGCAGCCTCTCAGCCGTGCTCAACTGATTGGTTACAAGGTTCCTGTGTATGTTAATAACATTCGGAATTCCGGTAGTAATGCTTGAAATTGAAACATGGTAATTTAATGGTAAAGGCAATAAAGCATGCAAAAATAGACGTAAAGACGCCAGAAGATTACACCCCCCACCTCCCCCTGGTGCGACAAACAATGCGCAGAAGAGATTAGCAGCAGCATCATCGGAGCAGCTGCATCGTCATAATTGACATAATATAATATAAGAAAGTGGCTATTCTCACCCGCCCGGAAGTTCTCGCAAGATCAACTCCTCCCCTCTTCTCTCTCTCTCTGTCTCTTTCTGAATACTGTCTATCGGTGTGGACGATCAAATTGACCAAAACAAAGTTTAAAAATGATGTTAAAACACAAAAGTAAATCAATTTGGTTGTCTACAAAGATGCTACGGCTATTTAACTTTTCGAATCGAGCCGAACCAAGCCGACCTACGCGGGTCGCCATTTCGTTTTGCCCGGAAATTCTCGCGCTACTCCTCTCTCTCTTTCTCTCTCTCTCTCCACTGCCCACAGACAAAATTGTACGCATTTAGTAGGCTACAGTTGTAATGGAACGTCTGTTCACGGCACAGAATTCTACAATTTTTCTGTGATCACAGTGTAGCATTCTGTGGTTTAGGGTGAACGCAAAATTTGGTGAACGCGCACCGGGTGAGAATAGCCACAAGACTCGCCTGCACTATTCTCACTCCGGGTGAGAATAGAGGTGGCCTGGGGAAAAAAACATTCACCTTGTTAACCTTGCAGTCAGTGCCACCCGCAATCAAGCGCTCTCACCTAAAATTCGAATTTGCCAAGCATAGTTTATCTTTATCTTTACCGGATAACAACGTTTATAACCCCTGGGACTAGATGTTTCAGGCAGGGATGGTTGGTAACAAGTTTCAGAAACTCTCAATTCATGAGCTTTCCAATCATCCATCCATCCCCACAACATTGACCTTTTGAGTCTTGGTAGCCAGAAGCCAGAAGTAATTGCAGGAAAAGTAAGATGGCCAAAAGTAAAACTTACATTTCGAAATTAAGAAATAGTCTAAGAAATGGATTGATTATATTTGAGAAGTTAGAACAGTAAAATAGAATACAAAACAGAACATTAGATAGTATTTTTGTCATAGGCCTGCAGCATTTTTATTTTATCTTTAAGATAACATCATTGTCGGGGGGAAATATGCATGGACAAATTGGCTATAGGAAACCAGGTGAAATTGACCTTTGTAGTTCAGTGTAATTTTTTTACTGGTAGAGCTAATACATGACGCTGTACCGGCTCGGCGTTTGCTGCGCTTGACAACACTTTTGACTCGTGTGATTCTGCTATTGATTCACAATGCTGCAGCCTTTTATTCACGTTTTAAATGCGCAAAGAAATATCCTGGCTAGCAGCTCTCCCCGCCGTAAACTTATTCTTGAGAATGTGGTAAGTATCACCTTTACTTTTTGGCTTTTTTTCGGTAGTTCCCACCCCGCAATTGTTATTCACGGGTTTTGGCCCCAAGAGTAGGGGGGTTTCAGGGGGGCTTGACTAATAAAAATAGGAAGGGGGGTTTCAGGGGGGCATGCCCCCCTGAATTTTACCATAATTTAATGTTTTAAGGTTTGATATCTTAGCTCACCGCGAATCAAACTTACAGATCTAGAGTCTAGATTTCTGGGTCACATAATATGGCCTCTATTGATATTGCACCACTATTGCATGATGATACTATGAAAGGTTTTATTAGGTAGACTGCTGCTTCTAGGATGTTTAGGCCTTTACACATTAACAGTATAGTCCTTTGGACAACTGCAGCACACAGCAGTGCATTTTTTAGCCCAACTTACTCAACACATTACATTTAAGTAGAGTCCATGAATCTCGAACACAAAAATCACAAATTCTCGGGTATCTCAAACATAATGCTCGGTCCCGTTTCAGTCCCTATGATATCTTTGTATTGAGTTCACGGAGTTTCCAAACACTGGGTACACGCAACTCTTGAATCTCGAACAAATCCACTTCGCATTCTCAACTTAAGACCCGGCTTTACAACCTTTTTGGCAGCAGGTGTAAGGTGTTTCTTTGTTATTGTTACAGCCTAAACATGGTCCTTGTCTCACCCCAAGAGGCTGGAGGAAAGGGAGACTGGGAAGGGGGGTTGAGGAATGATGCTGACCGCACCGCATGACTGGCTCGCCATGCGTGCAATCGTGCTGTGGGACGCGCGCGGTGCGGATAGCAAGAGGCATAACTTTCTGTAAGCCAATGAAATGAGAGGGAAGGAATGACGTAGGAGTTGGCTGTGCACACATGAGATTTTCTGCTTTCCAGTTTTATTCATCTTCTTACTTTCACAACGTCAACATGTTTCTCAAGGGAGCTAACCATGTTAATTGTTTTAATGTTATTTTTTACCTCCCTTGATTTTCTCTTTGTAATTGAGGTTTTAACAGACATGATGAATTACGGAAGTCTCGAACAGTATTTCCTATCTCCGGCGAATTCGAGTTACCCGTGTTTGACTGTATTTATTTTGATTGTTGTATACACACAAATTTACTAGAGTACACATGATTTATTCATGTTTTGTTGAAATAAATAAGGTAGAGTAGGAAATTATAGAAGATTAGAAGGGACGTTTCTCTCATAGAACTTTATCTTTTGCTTAGTTCTATTTGAAGAGAGATTTTCTCAGTGTAATCTATAATTTTCAGATGCATGTATCTTTTATTTTCTTTTTGCAGGGTTTAAAATTTGAAGTAATTTCTTCTACGTTTGAAGAAAATCTTGATAAAACCAAGTATCAACCTCAAGATTATGTTCTTGAAACTGCTAGATGTAAAACAGAGGAGGTAGCCAAGAGGCTTGCCAGCACACAGGTGAGCTAATTCATTGTGACTGGGAACTTTGGAAGATATGATTAAAGTCAAGCAGTCCCTGTTCTAGTGGTCAAAACAATTTGAATATCCCTTTTTCTGTGGAAATTACTTAATGAATTAACTGGTAAAACTCTGAAAAGTCTCTTTTTATGAGAGTTCATCATTCATCTATGTTGTATTAACTAAAAGTCAAAACACAGGTCTTAATTGTCTGGGAAAGTTGTACTGTATATAGTCTAATAGATGTAAGTTGATAAACTGCTGTGATATTCTTAAGGTCCTTTACTGCCATCAAATTTTCAGATATGAGGGTCTCTGGAGTGAGAGTAGCCAGTCTCTATGTTTTGGGGTGTTGCCTTGAAATGACCTGTGGGTCCAAGGCATAATTGTATTTTTTTTTAAACTGAATCCACACTATAAATTTATGTACTATCATCTGTCACTTAGCTACATGAATAGACTGAGGTATCAAAGCAAATTTATCAGTAACTGTATACAAAGTTCTCTTTCATAGTTGTTGAGTAAAATTCAGAATGTGACGTTTGTGAAGTTTTGTGCTTATATCTTCCGATCATATTCTGCTTCTTGAATATTTATTTTTTTTCCCCTACAGCCTCTCCCCGATCTAATCATTGGGGCTGACACAGTAGTTTCACAAGGAAGTGAAATCTTTGAGAAGCCCAAAGACAAACAGGATGCTGTGCGGATTCTTTCTCAGTGAGGAATTTGCTTTTTTTATGGATGAATGTTTGTTTACCTAGCGCTCTAACGACCTTTGGGAACTTCATTTACCCTTTAATTCGTTCAAGTTCAAGATACCATGTTAAATTTTATAAGAAAGAAAAACTACTATCAGTGAAAATGAAAGCAGTGAGCACTTAAAAAAAGCTAATTAATAGAGCATTTTAATTGGCCCTTTCAGTTAAATTCTATACTTATAATGATGATGGAGTTTGTTGGGGATTATTTTTTTTTTTTTAGCTTAGAGACCTCCCTTTCTTTTCTGACTTACAGCTTATATGATAATTTTATTCAGCTGTTTTTGTTGCCTTGTTAGTTTAGTTAGTTGTTGAACAGAACTCCTCTTTTGTCCCTTTTTCAGTTCTACTAGTTCTAGGCCAAATGATTATTTGTATAGATTAATGTTCTTTCCTCCCCCATTTTAAGAAACGGGCAGACAACCTCTGGGTTGAAAGGTTTTACTTAAATATTTTTTTTCCTCTGCTTATACCCTTTTGGATGTCATGGGAAGAAAGAGACGTCATTCTGCTGCAAGCTTGAAGGTTTGGGTTAAGGGGATGCAGTGAGACATCAGTGTTTCCTGGACACCATCTATTCAAGCCTTTCTAAGTTGCCTTTTAACTTTGTTGCCATTGAATTTTATGGTGTAGGCTCATTGTGCAGAGTGATATGTTGGTAGTCATGTAAGTGTAAGGTGGCCAAACCGTTTTTTCTTTGGTGTGGGATGTGATGCATGACATAATTTGTGCCCACCATTTCTCTCATCATTGTGTTTTATCTTTTGTCTCGCCAGGTCTTGTTCACTGTTTTCCTTCTAAGGCATCGCATTTCACAATTTTTTATTCTTTTCTCTAATGCCTTCTTCATGGTCTGTGTTTGGCATTGATAGATCTATAGGTAAGTGTTAGGGTGAAGATTGTGTTGATCATTTTGGCTTTCACCTTCATGGAGATGTTTCAGAGCCTAAACATCGCACTGCTGACACGGCCCTACACTGAATGCGATGGACCAAATGAATGTTGTCTATGAATAAATGGCTATGTGTTCATGTACAATTGGATATCTTTTTAATTTCACATTCTAATCTATCTTGTTTCCTCAGATTGAGTGGTAATGTGCACACTGTCTTTACTGGCGTTATACTATTTGTGCCTGCAAAGTCTGAAGGTGAGAGTGCTGCTAGAATTGCTTTGTTTTGAGTATGATTTTTAATGTTTAGTATTCTATTAGTGCCATATGATGAAGATGGTCCTTATTTATAATTCCTTGTATAGTTAGCTTAATTTGGCAAGACAAAAAGAGACTTAAAATTGACAATTAACTGTTTGGTTCTAATGATAAACGTGTAACGATAGCTAATTTTCAAAATTGAATTCTGTTAAGTAATGTATGAATTCCCTGAGATATACAAACATATTATGCTGATTAGTTTTATAATTATTTTTTTTTATGAGCATAAACATTAAAGTAAAAAATAAGTGAAAGCTGCAGATGCAGAAGTTTCTACAATATCGCAATAGTAGATGCTCTACCTATACAATTTTAAAACCAGTTGTCAAAATCATTTTAAAAATTCTGTTGCATTTGGGTTCATTTAAACCTTTTCATGGAGTAAAAAGGCAAAGAAAGAATTTCAAATTAAACTGTATAAAGCTCAAGATTGATCGTAGTCTGCCACTTTCGGTTCCACCTCATAGTCAGGATCTGGTACTTTGAGACATTTCATCAACAAAGCTCAAGTGTATCTCTAGTTTGTGCCCAAATTCTCGTTTTCAAATGCAAATGTATTTAGGCAAATATCTTTCACTGTTTTATGCGTGCTTGTATGAACTTTTTGGGTTTTATAATTTTTATGGCTTAACTTTTGATTTGTTTGTGTTTTATCAACAGTGTTGAAGTCAGGAGAACCAGCTCTGAATGGCCAGTTCCGGTATACTTCTTTTGTGGACAGTACAGAAGTTTTTATGTCTCAGTTTGACAAGAATGTCATAGAGGCATACATCGAGACTGGGGAACCATTGTAAGTATGAACTAAAGATGTATTACAACACCAAGAAAACATCACGAAGCTAGAAGATTATTGCTGTAGCTACACGTAATTATTATTTTCGCACTAAACTAGTGAACGGTCAACTTTTATCACTAAACACAATACTTTAATCCCAAACTCAACACTTGTGCACTCCGTACATACCACTACAGTAGTAGTCTCCATCTAAGATCCCAGTGCTTGGGAGCATGGAAAATGCGGGATCTTAGGTGAATGGGATCTTAGCCGACGCACCAAGGGAAGAACTTAGGTGACCCCTTTTGATGCCCACGACAGGTAAAATGGTCTTCCTTCACTCTAAAATGAACTGACCCGAACCCTGGATGGGTTTATGACTTATGGCGAGGAACGAGTGGTCTACTTTGATAAACAATCACAGTGGCATGAGGAATGCCATTTTCCCTCATCCTATTGTGAGACTCAAGATCCATGCTGATCCAATGGCTCCTGTTTTACCTGTTCAAAATTTATAGCTTTCCATCTCTGACTGATTTCCCCCGCCTTTATTGTTGCACACCATTACGTTGTGACCACATCAATTAAAATTCAGTTTGTCTCTTAAATTCGGGAGTAAAGGCAACCACTGCAAGGGTCAGAGAAGAGTTCACAGTTCGATGTGATCCCGCCGGGAGTAAACTTGTAGTCCCTACTCACCCAGCGAGTGATGTAAGTATAGGTGGAGAGCTCAGATGTGAGTGGGATGTTTGGGGAAACAAACGCGTCAGTCAATTCACACCTCGGTGTGATCTGGTCCGGAGCAAACAATGTACAATTTCGAGTTTATAATGCTTATGTGATCATATTCACGAGAATTTGCTGATCTTTCACCCGATGCGTACTTCAATGATCTCAAATTTTCATTCTTGGTTGATCGGCTGTACCCACTCGCATTTTTGTTCAGTAAATTATGATCTGAAATACAGGATCTTAGCCGAATGTAGACTTTCAAACAGAATCAGAGCGAAATCCTAGAGGTGACTTTTGTCTTGCAAAAATTCTGTTTTCTTATAACAGCGGGATCTTACCGGTGGTGGGATCTTAGGCAGAGACTACTGTATTTGTCTTTTGATTGAATTATTGAATAGGGTTGAGAAAAGTAATCTTAGACTGATGGACATCTTGGATAGACTGGTGATTTTCTGAGACAGGTGGACGTTAGAGCACATATTTTGATCATTCTGTGACTACTGAGACTATTTGGTGAGACTCCAGCCTTCATGTTCCAGTGTTCTTTCTCCATTTTCCGTTGACTCTGATTTTTTAAAATAAATTGTAGGCATAGGATTTGAAATGTGGATGTGCTGGAGGTGGAAATTAAGATCTGTCTGTTTAGAGATTTCAGTTTATCACTTCAATGTCAAAAAGATTTTTTGCTCACTTGAAAAAGGGACAATTGAGCAATATCAGAGTCAGAGAATCCTTTTGTACAAGTATTTTTTAGCATGCTTTTTAATAAAAAAACCCATTATTTTCAATATAATCCCTCTTCCAGAGATAAAGCTGGAGCTTATGGCATTCAAGCCATTGGAGGAACGCTGGTGGAAAAGATCAATGGGGACAACTTCAATGTCATGGGCTTCCCCTTGCCTCGATTTAGTAGAGAGTTGTCTACTATCTACAAAGAAGTCATTGAAAGATGACAGTGTTAAATGTTTTTAAATGTGTTCATGTGGGCAACAACAGTGTGCAAGAGGTTATATTGAGAATGTTAACATTGTTAAATTGTTGTTAAAATGAGGAAAGTTCTGATGCATTAAGGGGTTTGTTGTTGTTGTTGTTTTTTGGGGGGAGGAGGGGGGGGGGTGTCTTTGCATTCTTAACTCCCTTATTCTGAATCCCATTGCGGGAGTACTCATATCTTAAATCAGATGAGTTAGCATCTGTAAGATTGACCTTACTGACAGAAGGGTTCTGCTTCACAACATGTTTTTATTACGAAATCACAGGTCAGTGGGTCTTCCCACAGCCGTCAAGACGAGACAATTGTATGAAGTTAGTAAAAGAAAGAAGTAATGAACCCTGTTTTCGTAACCATAAAGGCACAAATTTGTAGTTATCTGGTTAATACTTGTAAGTTGTAAAGACTACTTTTTAACCCTATCCGTACGTCGTGTTTTACTGTCGTATCCATACGACGTGGGGAACTCTGTGCTACCACTTTCCAAAGAGGAGATTTATTCGTTAATCCGATCCGTACGCTTTGCATAGCAGTCTGTCAAAATTATTTTTTGAGAAATACTGAAAGTTTCAAAGGGATCTTCGCTCTAGAAGTATTCTAAAATGCGAAGAATACAACCCCGGGGGTACAGAATTACCCCAGGGCATATGGATAGGGTTAATCTAGGTGAAAGGAAAAAAAATTGAATGTTTTTTTGCATGTCATTATAAAGTCATATAATTCTTGTTTTACCACGAGAAAACGTTTTTTAACATTATAAAATTTACCCATATTCAATTCTGCAATTCTTTTTGAAAATTATGGTCAAGTGGCATTTGATTTTATCTTCAAATTCAACAAATAATCTTTGGCTATTTATGGAAAAATCTCAACTTGAATGATATACCAAATGAATCTTAGATTTTTTAAACCCCCGAAAATTTCTGTATTCAGAGGTTATGCTAGAAAAAAAGTATAATAACAAGGGAATTATTCATTATGCTACCCCTATAATACAACATGAGAGCCTCACTTAATGACATTATGGGGGGGGGGGGGGGGGGGGGTTCCCAGTGCATTTGTGTGCCAGAGTGTTATTAATTTAGAAAATGGATTAGTAAGGTGTAAATTTTTATCACAAAGAGATGTCAAGTGCTAACTATCTCTGAGTCTCAAGTGCTCAAGAATACCTCCTTTTTACCCAAAGTTTGCTTCTCTGTCGTAACAATAACGGAGGAAATGCAAGCTTTCTGGAATGTTTTTGTGTTACTTTATTGCTGCAATAAAATAAGTTCACAATCTATATTGTGAACAAAACGTTATCGTTTCTTGTATTATATTTCATTTTCATTTAAAAGCAGTGAATACTGTATCAGAGTTCCTCACAGAGCTGGTGTGACAAAAGGTTTAACTTTTTCTCTCCACCTTCTAATATCACTATCATTCAAAAAAGAAATGCACTCATTACAAAACATTCATTACATCCTTTACATACATAGATTGTCTTTACTATAATATGCTTTCTCAGCCAAGGGCTGCATTGGGTCGTATGCTGTATGCTGTATGAATTATGTTTGTGTATGTGGTTGTTTGAGTCTGAAGGTATGTATCAAAGAGTGATTGCACAAGAGGGTTGGGAGGTATATCCTGACCAGTGTTGGTTACATGATCATGACCTGACATAACAGATCAATTTCTTTATAGTCATATGGCTATTCAGCATCACTTTCTTCCTGTCTCTTGCTTCGACACCAAGCAAGGCGTACGCACTATCCATCCTTTTATACTGGGTATGAAATGAGAAGTTACAGGTTTAACACCCCTTGCATCACTGTAATGTTATCTATGAGGCAGGATCTCTGAATTTAACGTCCATCTCCGATAGCACAGAGCCAAATAGGAACATATATATATTTGTATAAAGTGCTTATCCAAAGGTCACAATGTAGGACCAAAGTGGGCCTCGAATGGCAATATATTACGACTAGTATACAATTATGCTTCCTGGGAAGCTGAGAATGTTTCTGGGCGTTCTATGGTCTGCTGGGGTTATAGTATATAGTGTAAAGCTCGTAGAGCTTGCTGCAGAGCGGGGTTATGTGCTATACACAAATGCTGTTTATTTATTACAGTAAGTCACGAATTGCTCGAATTCATCGGGACTGGCCTCGGTAGTTCGAGGGATCCGTGACACTGAACAGTGTTGTGGCATCGGCCATGTCAGAGAAGCAAGGGAAGCAACAAAGATTGGGTGGAAACAGAGATTTTTCTTTTTTCTGCCATTGTCTTAGATCAGATAGGTTAGATCTATACCTATTGACTAGAATTTGAGAGAATCTGAAATTGACAGATTAAGAATGAGAAACACGATGAGCAATGCTTTGGAGTTCGATCGGTAATGAGCCTACCTGTACCAAGACAGTTTTATTGTGAGGGTCAGTGTGAGCAGTCTTTAGTCTGCACCTATTGAACTATGCTTTTTCAAATTGTTCAAAACATAAACGATTTGAGAAGATAGGCATATATCGCAACAGTAATAAACAAAACGATGATGAAACAATGCAACCCTACCCCGCCTCTCCCACCAAGCGTGCAACCCTTTGCAAAGAGGAGTTGGGTGGCCGATCGTGTGATGCGCTACCCCTCCTCTCGCCCACTCCACACAAGCCTAGCTAGGCCTAGAACCTAGCACACACAGAGGGCATGCGTGTCGCGCAGCGTGCTAAAAATAGCACAGCTAGCTGCTTCTGTGGAAGGTGGGGGGGGGGGGTTTACCAACCTTGCCTTTTTCCGTTTTTATTATTATTGTCATTTTACTTTGTCTCAAGTGCACCTCAAAGGACATTGACTTTGGACCTCTACGGCGGAGTAATTGGTCCGACTATTCCGTGTTTGTGTTTGAGCTTCGCGTAATTTTCTTACAACGATAAAAAAGGAAAAAAAACGGGACGCAGGCACAGTTCCACGGATGCTTGATTTCCAGTAATCTGTGTTCGACCTATGCGGGTTATACTGTATGATATATTTATTATTTTACTTCCCTGTTTTTCTTCAATATATAACTCAAAATTTCTGTTATATCTGTTTACTTGAATTACAGATGTGTCGAACACATTTGTCAATCCTTTATGTTTTTGAGATGTCCATGCATGCTTAACCTTAGTAAACCACGTATAAAGTTTTGCTATTTTTCTTTTAGCACAAGAGTCATAGCATAATGAACAAATTATAAAACCACAGTATCACAAAATCACATTAAGTTTTAAAAAATCAAATTGGCAAGACTTCATTATGACAAAAATGAGTTTTACAGAGTTTATTACGAACCCCATAATACATACTCAGATAAAACTTCAGTTGTGAGTATTTGATGCAGACAGTTCAGTCCTTAGAAATACTTGAAAGAAAAAAATCTCTCAACTCATGCACTATGGGCTGCTAAAACAATATTAACAGCGCACTTATCTGATGGTATTACAGCGTGTCCTATGAAAGGACAGTTATGTGATGTCATCATTACGTCTTTCTTATTTGCATAGATAGTTGTTAATATCACAGGACATATAGGAAATCAGAAGCAATTGAACATTTTTTTTTCATCATCATTCAATGATATGGAAGAAATCTTGAAAAATGATAAGCGATGTAAAAATCACAGCGGCACTCAGGTTTCTTAACTTTTACATTTATGACAGTGCTTGATGTTCCTGAGCCCAAAGAATATTCTAGTATGGTAACTTGTTTACAAAAGTCGGGCCAATTTTTTGTTGTCTGAGCTCAGCTGTTCATGATTTAGGACAAGTTTCCCTCGAAAACTGTTGGAGTCGGCCACAGGTGCAATCGGGGGCAGGAACCTGAAAATGAAAGTTCAAAAATATGTTAAAGAAGTGAAATTCATGGAGCGCGTATGCAGAAAAACTAGGCATTTCAGGAAAAATTGAAAGAGAAGAAAAGCCGAAGACACCAATGCACAAGATTCATAAATAGCCTGAACACTCTGGCAAAAAATAAACAATGAACAACAACTCGTTCGAGAAGGATGGAGAACCATGACCGCCAAAGTCTACTCCAGACAAGACCCTCGATGATGTGGCAGAGTATCACTAGTATCAGTCCTTGGCAAAGTTTATCCTCTCAATTCAGGCATGGGAGGGCAAGAATCTATAACTGAAACTATCTTCAAAAAAAAAAGAAAAAGAAAGACTAAAATTTGACTCAAATAATAATGCAGTCTATCATGCACATAGTGAAATCAGCATTACGTGGAAATCTTTTTTATTATCTTTGAATTTCGCTATGTTATAATGTAAGAATTTCAGGCCATATCAAGTGAGACAAAGCTGGGCAATTGAGTCAAAATTTTCATGAATTAAGATGGGTGTTGGGATCATAGTCGTTCAAATGTTTTGCAGATTTGGGTTTTTAACATTGACTTCTCATCTATCTCTGCTAGTACCGGTCTCCTCAAGCAAGAAGCATTTCCGCTTCTTTTGCTCTTCTATGGTCCACTCTCTACTACAACAGCAACTAGACCTAGCTTTGTAAAAGCCGGCAAGCTGTGGTGTAATGTGTAATCTCTGTCATTCAAGAGTAAGCAAGGTGACACACATAGGGACAATATTGCATACGTACCTTCACACAATCTGACTTCCAACACACAACTGAAATGTACAGGGTAAAATTTACAGCTGAACACTTTTGTGACTGACTGACGTATTATAAACATGTCTTTGGCCTACGTATTGCCCTCGACTGAAAGAGAGGTACTCTCTCTCTCTCTCTCTCTCTCTCTCTCTCTCTCTCTCTCTCTCTCTCTCTCTCACACACACACACACACACACACACACATCTTAGCTACTTCAGTGGACACAATTTGCTGTCATATTTCATAAGATCTACCCTCTCTGATGCCATTATATTTTGCTATGTACAGATTGTTTTTGCTATATGTGCCTGTTTTGAATACAAAGAATATGTAAGAACAAATTTGGGACTTGAAAATCTATTCCAAATGTACATATTCGCTGTGTGCATATTTGTATATGCATGCTAGATGGTACCAACACTATGCAGCAACTGTCTCATATCTTCTATTATTTATTTGTGGTGGCCGAATTTTGCTATTCAAAAGGCTTTTTAATGGCAGCATCAATCGACATGCGGTTTTCGCCAAAAAATTCTTTAAAATATTCTCCAGATCATGGCGCCCTTGGTTTTTTCAGTTTTGAGACAGTTTTGCTACAAAAAGCTAAATTTCTTTATTTCGTCGACCGCTTTTGTAGGCCGACGCTGCTGTCTCTGTAATTTTAGAAAATCCGAAAGTGATATTTCGCGAGGCGCATTTTGTTTTGAGAGTATAGATATAGACCTGATTTTTAGCATCTCTCAAGATTTATTTCCCCATTCCAATAGAGTGTAAAGTAGGCCAATGACTTTTAGTTGATACTAAAGCACCGATCATCCCTTTCATCGAAAGGGGGCCCAGCTAGTTCATCATATAAGTACATTATGTAATAATTAAAATTTATGTTATCATACTTTTTCCTTTCCTTCTCGAACGTTTTCTGCTGTTGCATTCGTTTCTTCTTCTCTTCCACCAGTTGTTTCTTTAGTTCGTCTCTTTCTTGTCCTTTCGCCTGAGCCTTCCACTCCACCATATTCATCTCAGCCAGTGCTGCCTGTTACAAAAATGTTGTATCACTGAATACAGAATTGATATAGTAACCTTTTTAAAAAGTATTTGCTGCAAGTTAATATTAAAAGAGCATCTGCAGGGACATTGATCGAAAGCAAACATTGTAATGACAAGAGACCATATAACAACCAATGTCATTGAGGAAACTAGCACAAAAAATTAGTACAATCATTGCAAATCTAATGTGGATGGTTGCATCTGCTTGTCCTATTTTAAAAAATCTAGTGTCTTTATGTTTCCTCCTCCTTTTCTTCATATTATTATGTTACTCTATAGTAGCACCTCTAATCTTTGACACTTAAATGATCTAACAGTGTTAAAATTATTAAAACTAAAACTAAATAAAACTTTAAAAACCGCTAAAGTAAATTCAATGCTAAGATTTAGAAGTAAGAATTGTATTTGAGATTGTCTCACTGTAAAAAAGACAAGCAGGTGCAATTACAACTACTCACCCCCCCCCCCCCCTCTTCATTTACACACACACACACACACACACACACACACACACACACACACACACACACACACACACACATTCTCATCCCTCAAAAGAAATGTGTATGACAAAGATGGAGTGGATAATTTTAGTTGCAGTCCCTAAAAAGTACATTCAATGATAGACACATTTCACACAAAAAATCCACATCACTGCTGATTGGTACAAAGCCTGACTGACGAGAAGAAATAAAATTTACCAAGTTTTACTGGGATCACAGCATAAAAACAAAGGTTAAGGCAGCACTGAATTCTTCTAGATTCCATTTTAATTTGGCTTCAATAAAAGTCCTCGGTAGTAAAAGCAAATGCCTAACCTTGAGCTTTTTTGTCATTCCTTCCTTCTCCCTTCGGTCTAAGCAGGCTCTCATTGCCACATCAGGTCCAGGAGCTTTCTCTAGCATGCCTTTGAAGTACTTCAGGACTTGAGCTTTGTCCAACAATGCCCCTTCCAGCCTTGTTACTTCCTCAGTTTTGGCAATGAGTTTCTTCACCAAGTGATTTGTTTTCAGGATCATTTCGAACTTAGAAAAGTCTTGAGCCTGTACATAAAGAAAAGAGTTAAATTAGTTTGATCAGTCTTTGCGCCTTTTTCTGCTCTATGTGATGTGAAATCAAACCCGCTGACATAGTTCCCAGAATTGTAAGGGAGAACAAATTTCCTCACCATGTCAAGGCCCGTACACAAAGAAAAATAAATGATAAATGACAATGCTAAATTTCCCAGAGCAGATAAATAAGTTTGGAATTTAAGCTCTGTTTCAGTTCAAAACCAGAGAAAAGTGGGATGAAAAGAACTTGGGAATGAGGAGGGAAACAATACACAACTGTTTATTGTATTACGCCAATTTGCACACTATTGTTGACTCGAAAACTAGGGTTCAAATTTGTGTGCAACAATTTTCAGAACTATGAAGGCAGCTCAATGAAGACATGAAGGGCTGAATATACCTCAAAGTAAAAGTGATTAGACAGACGCTACAAGAAGTGAAAAGCTAGGATTCGAAAACTGAAATGGAAACAGCACATTTTCAGAACTAATTAAAAGCGTACTGAACTATACAGCTAACATGTGCACATTTTATATAACCTTTGGCCGGCCTATAGCAAAAACGGTTAGAGAAGAAATTTGTAAGTTAAACAAACTCATTTTTGACCAATCGTCAGATATTTTCTTGTTATTGAGAATTTAAAGATCTCTAAAAGAGGGTCGGCAATATCCAACAAGTTTTCTCAGATCACCTCAAGTGTTTTAAAAGGCACCAAACAGTGAGTCCTACCTTCAGGTGTCGCCACTTGTGAACGGGCATTGGGGCTTGATCCTCAAGAGCCTTGCAGCGAGCCTTGAAATTTACCAGCTGTTGATTAGCAAGACCCAACTTTGACCTGGAATAGAGATTCACCTCTTCTTGTGCCTTGATTCTGTTTAGTTTAGTTTTAGTAGAGGTTTTACGACGCTCGCAACTGCATAAGGTCATATGAGCGCCAAGGAGTGGATGTCAACAGAGAAGTCCTTACAGGGAATCAGACTTACTCTGCTCACCTCTCTAGCTTCAACAGTACAAAGTCTGCCTCGACTATCAAGGCACTCCGGAAATAGCCGGTCACAAGAGTGTGACAAACATACAAATGAAGTAGAGGGGAAAAAAACCATAGTAAGGATTAGTAAAGAAAAAGCAGCAGTTCCCTGTTGCAATTCAGGCACAGTTATGAGCATGATATTGATGAATCAGTCCATTTACAATTATAATTTTACTGTGCATAAAAACAGGTTAATGTCCCCCCTTTGGAAATGGCCTAAAGACACTTCAGTCAGTAGCACCACCCTGGAGGGTAGAGCCTTGATTCATTAGCACAAGGACATATTAAGTAGAGAAAAGCGGTGAAATATGTTTTATGTTGGTGCAAATCACAAGAGTAGTACAGGTGTCTGTGAAGTAGCAGTTTCGCCATTGCAAGCAGAAGACATGAGTTCAGTTCCCAAATGGAGAGGTTTTTTAATCAGGTACCTTCATCTGTCTGCTGGGAAGGTGTATCCCTCTCAACCCAAGTTGGCTCTCACAGGCTGAGTCTAAGCAGCCTGCCTCTTAAATGATCAAAATTGGTCAATCAGGAGGCTAAATATCAGCTACCATAATTGAGGCTTCACAAATTAAGTATGCTGAAGCCAAAAGAGAAGCCTGCAAGCTCCACACATCCACAAGTGAGACATACAACATCTGAGTCTAAATTTTAAAAATCTTTTAAGACAAATTTAATGACATCATTTTTATGTCAGTAGATTCATGTTCCGTACAATGTAATGTAAATGACTATATATCCATTTATGTACTTTGCGAATTGCATTGTGTATATTATTTCATTATATATGTGTATGTACTCATTTCGTAACGATGTGTAAGCGTGCGCGTGTGAAAAGCAAGTAGGTATGTGTGTGTGTGTTTTTTTGGGTATGTGTGTGTGTGTGTGTGAGTGTGTGTGTGCGAGTGCGTGTGTGTGCCTGTGTGTGTCGCGTGCGTGAATATTGTTCGTACATGCATTTATGTAAAGCGCCTAGAGCTGTGTTTACACGAGAGAGGGCGCTGTAGATATGATCTTCATATTCATTATTATTATAAGTGGAAATGAAGCTTTTAAATATCAAAATGTAGACAACTCTTCTCTGCCAAACTTAGTTTTATAGCCCATAGCAAAATGTTTAACGTTCGTGAATATCACAAGGTCTTTGAATTCATTTAACTAAAATCTGACCTTGAAAGTGTTACTGCATAAAACTTTTTTTTTTCTCCCACACTAGAAATCTTTCATATGTTAGCGAGGTACAGTCAAACTTGCCTAAGAAGTCCATATATCTTCGAGGAGAAAAGTGGTCGTCATAAACAGGTGAACGTCTTGACTATTGAAAAAAAATGCTAGGGGGGGAGGAGTAGTGGTCATTTGCACAAGAGATTATCTTGGACACATGGCCTTCAGATCAGGTTTGTCTGTCCCCACAATTACTATAATGATATCCCTCCTCACTTCGAGGGTTTCCATTAATCTTTTGAGGTGCTCATTTTCACTTTGAAAAAGTTTATAATCACTTTGTCAGCATCTGCACTTACTTCAAATTATCTATGTTCTCTAGTTTGTGCATCACTCCGTCCTTCTGCCGCCACAAGTTTGCATTCTGGAGGTGCAGAAACCCGATCTCCCGGATGCGCTCATTGTACAGGCGATCGCCCATCTGCATAATGTCTCCCAAAATGTCGTGCTTCTGTTTTAGCATGGAGATTTCTTGTTTGTTCCTCACGCACTGGGCACCCAGGATGTTTCTCTGACACGTCAGCTGTGGGAAGTGGATCAACATTTTGGGTATGAGAAATAGGAGGGACGATGACTGGATGAATTCTGTGGGGTCTTGCTGGCAGCCTCAAAGGTCTACAATACAAGATTGAATGGCTTCAAGGCAAGAGGAAGACCAAACAAAAGATGGATCAACGAAATTAAAGAGACTTTCCGAAGCAGTACAATGACAATCCAAAAGGCAACACACTTAGACCACATCTGACCATCGTATCTCCCTATCTCCCCTTCACACCTTGTGGTACAAGAGGACAAAAAAAAGTGAAAAGTAAGTACCAGTAACCTTAAAGAGGTTTTTAAAAAAAATCAATCTTCAAATTTTTTTTGTAACGGCACAAGGTACATTTGAGCCAACCAGGTATACAGGATGGGCACTCTTGCAATTAAACCACACACCCATGCACACACACACTTACACACACACATCTTCCCCTCCCCTCCGTCCCACTCCACTCCCTTTCTGAAAAAAATTCTCCAGCTCGTACTGATCACCAAACTACACCATGCGGGGGGGGGGGGGGGGGGGGGGGTGAACCTCTCAAAATGTTTATTTCGCGGATAACATTGAACACATAATCTATTGATACATTGATAACCCTCTCAGCTGTCTAACCACCTGCCATCAACAAGACCTCTTGGAAAGGTGGTCCTACGAAAATGCTAGGAACAAATAGTTTCTTCAGAGACCTCTTCTATGTAGATATTTTGCCTCTCGATCTGGCCCCTCTGACGTTCCATCATCTTCTCCACATAGCGCAGTTCTTTGTACATATCCCGCACTTGGTCCTTGCGTTTCTTGCCCTCCACCCGCTCAATGACAAGCTCATTGTGGGCCTCGTTCAGCTCATCCTTCAGCTTTGTATACTTGTCAGACAAATGACTCAGCTGTTGTTCTTCAAACAAAAATAAATTCAAACAATCCAATCAATCAATCAATCAAAAATAAATAAATAAATAAACGGACTTTATTGATTTCTGTTACGAAATCTGGTTGCCATCTCTCTCTCTCTCTCTCTCTCTCTCTCTCTCTCTCTCTCTCTCTCTCTCTCTCTCTCTCTCTCTCTCTCCTCTCTCTCTTGCTCTCTCTCTCTCTCTCTCATGCTCTCTCTCTCCCTCTCTCTCATGCACACACGCACGCATGTACGCACGCGCGCACACACACACACACACACACACACACACACACACACACACACACACACACACACACACACACGCACTACAAACATGCCATTGCTGGTCTCCACTGTGCAGCACCCTGGGCTTTTTTTTTCTTTCTTTAAATAAATAAATAGATAAGCAGATAAGTTGAGAACAGATCAAATGAGGATGAGGAATAATAGATAATACAGGAAGCAAAACACCCGAAAACAGCATGGGAAATAAATGAATGGGTAGAGAACAAGAGAGAGAGGAAGGGGGAGTCGAGGGGCACACACGCACACTAAAAGAGAGAGAGAGACAGACAGAGAGAGAGAGAGTGAGTGACAGAGAGAGAGAGAGAGAGAGTAGAGAGACAGACAGACAGGCAGAGGGAGAGAAAAATCCAGAGAGATAAATTAAAAGAGGGGGGGGGGGGATAGAAACCTGTATGAAAACACAACATTCACATCTTACTTTGATCAGAGCCCTGTTGTTTTTCTTTAACAAACAATAATATTCAACCTCTCAATATCTTAAAAGAATGACTGCTTATCCAATTGCATCATAATTATATAAAGCTAATAGTTTCAAAGGTGAAAAGGCCAGCACATAAGGGGAAATTTTTCAACAATAACACTAAAAAAAGGAAAAAGGAGTTGAGAGGCAATGCGAGAGTCAGGGATGGAAATTCTCTCCCACTGAAAAACCAAATGATGAGGAAAATTTGCAGCATCTACTTAATACAAACAAAAAGCAATACGCTCACCTTTGTTTAGAATATCTTCTGAAAGAGATTTTGTCTGCTTTCCAATGTTGACATTTGCTTGGGAAAGGTCCGAGTTCAGTAGCTGAAACAAAAAAAAATGATAACTTGATAATTCTGTCAAAGCTCAAAAGGTAAAATTTCCAAAAGTTAAGGACTTAAGGGAAATATGCCAAGTTTTGACACAGGTTTTCATATATGCATAAACACACACACACACACACACACACACACACACACACACACACACACACACACACACACACACACACACACAAACACACACACACACAAACACAAATTCACAATACAGTCACCCAGTCATGTTTGAGCCAGCATGCTCAAGCAAACCAGCATAATATTCATTATCAGCCAGCTGTTCAGATGTACTAAAGCCCAGAGTATTGAATTTTTTTATAACTCCAGTTTCTTAAGTAATCTGTTGTATTGGATGAATATGCCCATGAAATATTTGGTCAAAATGTAAACGGTAAATGTTGAAAAATGCTAGAAAAGTTACGTAATGTAGGTGCTATCTTTACAGAATTAAAAAAATTCCTTTTTCTTCTCTCCTGAAAATTTTTTCTGGGCTTAGAATACTTAAACAACATGACGATGTTATATGCCTAGCCCAATCCAAAAGAAACGATGCTATCTCTGATCTGGTCTAAGAATGTGTTTTCGAGATGCTGGCCATTTTCTTTTCTTGTTCTTTTTCAGTAGTCTAAAAATTGAGAATAGAAATAGAAAAATCAAAGTTTAGTTTGCTTAATAAGAATGAAAACGTTTTACATTTCACAAGATTTGGAAAACAATTGTTGATCTAATGTAAAAATGGCACCTTTTTGCCGAGACACATCGTTAGATTTCTTAATTACTGTCTTAATCAATGTAAAGTTAGTAAAAACGGTAGAGAAAGGGCGTGGGAAGAGAAAAAAAAGAGAGATCAAGACAGAGAAAGAAAGAGAGAAAGGGGGAGGGAATTTTAAAGAATTACTGCTGGAATTATGTTTTTTGTATCATCGAAAAGCGCACTGATAACTTTCCAAGTGAAAATACGCTATTGGAACATATTTATTAATCACTATTATAGTGTTGGTTTCATCTTCCACCGCTCCAATGAGTTATAAGGTGGGCAACCATCCATCCGGCTCTGTAGCAGTACATTCTTTTTCGGTCATCCCATTTCAAAAGGTGGATGCACTGTACAGTGTGTACAATATGGTGACATTGATAAGTATTAGCTTACCAAAGCCATGAGATTAGCAACGTAGACTGTAGTAGACAGCTGTTTATCCCAAAAAGTGAAAGTTGAAGCCTCTCTTGGGATTGTCAAAATACAGAAGCAATGAAATATTCAAAAAGCTAAAGCTGTAGTCTATGTATATATGTGAAATTGCGGTGAAATCAAATTTTCATCAATTTTTTTTTGGCTCAACACTTTTATGTCCATTTTAAAATAAAATTTTGGAGTGGATTTTACTGAGAAACATAGCCTTCAAAATGTTCTCAATGTCCTTTGTGCTCACAGCACAGCATAAAAATAAAGTAAAAACAAAGTAAACATGATACCTACATTTTATTTCTATACAAAAAGTAAAAAGTCACCTCTGTTTTACGAAGCATGCTGTTGATGTTATCCCGTTGACTCAAAGCATACACCAGGTTTTCTTTCATCTGTTTCAGTTGATGTTCAACCTCCGCTCTGTGTTGCTGAGCCATGAATGCCACAATTTCTTTTGTATGAAGCTCGTCATTCAGTCTGGCGATCTGTCCACAGATATTAACTCAGTTTCATGTCTAAAGACAAAAATTTTAAAATGACTTAAATACACATAGCCTTAATTAAAATTGAATGTTACATGTCACTCAGGAACTTGCTGTCTAACAGAATTTTCAAATTCTTAAAGTAACTAGCAGATAGGCAGGTAGGCCCATTACCCGTTATATCTGAACAGCTCTTCGACACATTAAATTTACTTGCTATTTAATCACACTATCATTAGCAATGGTAAAATTTCAAGAGAAACATGGACAAATATATTATTATAAATAGAAAATACTCACTTCCAGATGAAAAAGCTGTTCAATTTCAAGGACCTCTTGCTTGTGACACATTCGAAAAAGTTTAAATTTTCCATTCCCAGATAGTGAAATGGAAAGTCACAAGAAACTTTTATGTCACCCACCTCGCAGGACTGCTGGTTGATGCGGCCAAACAGTTTGTCTTTTTCAAAAGTCAGAGACTGAAGGTTTTCATAAATATTCTTGGTGTTTTCTTGGGCTGTGGCCAAGTCTGACAGCAATGACCTATTCATGTCTGACTCAATCTTGAGAGAGCTATCAATTTTTTCCTTCTGTTTCAATAACTTGGTATTCACCTGCCAGAACAAAAGTAAAGTTAAAACAAATATTTGATTTTTTGTTTAATACAAAGGAGTCCACTAACCAAAATTGCCAAACTGCCACATTTTCTTCAGTTAAGCTGTGCTTTTGATTTAGAGAAACTGCTCAAAAAGCAATAAATCTCGACAGTGAACAGATGGAAATGTCATGCTTGCAGCAAGTTTCACTTTTTGAGAGTTGTTTTTTTTCTCATGTACCTCTTTCAGTGACTGCAATTTAAAAAGCAGACTGTACACATTGTGCTTTCTCTTTGACATTGTCAGCTTGCTTAATCTGCCACACAGTCACACAGAGTAGACAAAAGCTAGTAGATCAGCATACTGTAGGCCTACTGTACTGTGTTTTGCGTTAGGATTTGTGGGCTATGAGAGATGTGAGAAGCACAGTGCCAGTGATGTCATGAAACACACCACATGCCATCACAGGCTTATGTACAGGCGCTGTTCGTCCATAGAGCACGGTCGTGCAATGCCGCCCAAAATTTTGTATTGTTCTATTTCGTAAAAGACCCACAATAATAAAATAAAAGAAGCCAGAAACAAACACTAGCCAAATATTATATCAAAACAAGGTCCTCAGTGGCGCCACAACTGTCATTTCTGTGTCTATAATGCCGTAAAACATCTACTAAGGCATGCCAAATTCCACGAGTTTTAGCTTAACATAATAGGATATTCAACAGTGTAACCTGACCTATAAATCGCTCTTGAGGAAAACCCAAGCGATGACGACACTCGTAGTGAGTTTGTTGGTATATTAATATTAATAAGACGGCACATCTCATATGTGCTCCAGCCGAATAGTGCCGAAACAGAGCCCACAATAGACAGTCTAAAAATAAATGCGATAGACCGTGCGCTATTCTTTGCCAATATTATGTGAGCCCCGGAGCAATCCAGCGGAGTGCTCAAGTGAATTGTGATTGGTTCATTGTCTGTCTTGCCACTATTTTAAGTCATAAAGTGACTCTAGGGAGGTGAACGTGGCCGTTCTACGAGTTGTGCCTTTGAATGGTTTTGTAGTGGAGTGGTGAAAGTTATTACTTAAGTGTTCAGTTCCAATACAGGATGAACAAAATTGATGTTTAGCGAACAAACAAATTTAGTACTAGAAATCAAAGCGGTATATAAAAAGAATAAAAATAAAGGACGAGGTCCTCCCTCACCAACACAAAGATCCTAAAATTATACACCGTCTCATTTACTATGCCCTTGACTATCTTCAGCATGAGATAGCTTAATTGTGCACGTCCACTTTTTAGCCCCACGAGCTCAACAGCTCAACACATGTACATTCGCTATCCTTGGGTCACTTCACAGTCCGTAGGCTTATTGATGTGTGTAATAAACAAAGGCAAACAGTTCACTGGCAATGCCTTTCTCTGAACTGCTATTTATATAAAGGCATTCTTTTGTTTTTCTTCCGTTTCTCTATCTTGAAGCACTTAAGACTTGATGAACTGTATTATCTGAGGACTGCTGGTGAAGATTTAGACAATATACATGTATAGGTGTTCTTAAAATTCTTTACGGTTTAGAAAAAGAAACATTTCAGCTTATCTATGATTTTCTCCCAAAGACAAAAAAAAAGGAAAAATTCACGGATTCATCTTCTTTCATTTTACTGCTCTTTTTGGGACTATCCATGTTCAGTTTAAGTGACTCCACACTGTATTTTGTTCTTTTAAGGGGGAAAAGTAGGGTAGGCCTATACAGGCACAAAAGGAGAGAGGGGGGGGGGGAAAGAGAGAAAGGATGGGCAGGGAGGAAGTAGAAAGACAAGAAAAAAAGTTGCTTATAAATATAATAAACTTTAGTCTAGTCAGCAAAAAGGGTACTTTTGAAAACAGCACAGGGCTGCCTGTCAGGCAAGGGATGATTTTACTATGTTTGTAGATAAAACGGCCATGTCCATAAAAGATCTTGCAGTCAGTTGCTCCCTAACCGCCTGGCAGGGGTATGAGAGAAATAAAACAAAAAATCTTAATAATAAAAGCTGGGAAACATTAAAGATAGATTGTTACACTGACCATTGGATTAGACCATGCAGTCTCAAAATCAAGTTGAACATCACAATCAAAACAATCAACTTTTTAAAAAATATATCAACTGCAATTCGTGCTAAATTGATGCATCTGCAAGGGTTCTGATAAGAATGATGATCAGTGACATAACAGCCTACATGGTCATTGCTTAAGAGAGAGTCCAGCAGAGAGGAACTTAATATGTTTCTATCAGGGTGAGACACTTTCTATAACAACACTGAAGTAAGGACAATAGAGTACAAGATCTCACCTTTTCCGAGCTCTCAATCTGACTCGCGGCTTTTTTCAACTGTTTTGTAACAATTTCCAAATGTTTCTCAGACGCGGCAATGTCTGAGGACAGAATCCCAAAATATGTCCATTTCATAAAAGTGAACATAACAGGGCAAACCTGAGCTCTTTCTGTTCCTAAGGGGTTTCCATGTCTGAGCTACACCAGTGAGTAGTCAATGTTGCAAGAGGCCTGTTATCACATTACATTTATCGCATAAAGTAGACATGTTGATATCAAATGGAAGACAAAATAATAAAATACAAAAATACTACGTAAAAAAAAAATACTGTCAAAATTGTCTTAGTCAGCCATCCACTGTTAATGAGAAAAGGGTTTGTCTTAGACAGATGGAAGTCTTGGACAGTGTCAATATAGGCTAATATAGAAAAAGTGCAAAGAAGAGAAGTGGGTAGTGGTCATTTGTACCAGTGATTGCCTTGGACAGGTGGCCATTAGAGCAGGTTCAACTTACATGGAGAGGGTGCTTCTTGCACTAGAGATAATGGCAAGTCCACATTTTATCGTAGATTGACACAAAAAGAGTGAGTCCTTTCTATGAACCTGAGTACATGTCTGAACTCACACTACCTCTATCCTTCTGTACACTGAACAGAGTCATCAGCATCATCTATGCTTTCTCACTCTGGATCAGGGTATAGGCCACGAACACTTTCCACCTTTCCCTATCCTGGGCTAGCCTCCTGATGTTTTACTGAACAGAGTGCAGTGATGTAAATCTAACAGTCAACCCAAAGGAGCTTTTAGATTTAGGGGGATAGGGCTCAAGAGATCGCTTTGTTTCAAAGGTGTTCTTATATCCCCATCAACACAATTTAGATCATTTAGGAATCAGATTTTGACCCTGCCTGTCAGGGCCAAACTGGGATGAGAGGGATACAACATCCCTTCAGAAAGACCAAGATACTCTATAAAATTTCTTGAAGCTTTTAACATATTGTGTCTCAGCCCAGGGGCCCAACGGTATTTAACTTCAACAGCAACAACAAAAGCAATGATGAAATCAAGCAAAATGCCTTGCCACATAAATAACCAATTCTTTGTGGCAATAAGTTAACTTGAACAAAGACAAAAAAGGAAACTGCACCAATACAAAGGAATAATCTTTCCATTTTAAAAGTACATATGAATTTGCTTGTTTATGGTAGCACTTTCACTCAAGAGTTTCAAAATGAATACATGGAAAACAAAAAGTTTTGTTTTTTACAAAATGATACATGAATATAATACCCACCAATGACAAGCAAATAGAAAGACACAAAGAAGGCAAAAACTAAATAACTGTACAAAAGAAATGCGAAAACATCAAGCATTTCCAAAAGAACATTTCCGTAACTTTCTTCCATAAAATAATCAAAGAAAAGATTGAATACAAAGCATGTAAGACTCATTTGTGGAACCTACTGGCCTCAAGGGTTCTTATTTCATTCTTTTCTGTTTTGCGATTTTCGTCACATTCTGTTAAATTATGCTGTGTTTTGGAGAGTTTTTCAGACAGCATTTCATTCTTCTTGACAAAGGACATCAGCCGAAAATCTTTGTCTTGTAACTCTTTAGTCTTTGCCTGAAATAAGTTAATATGATATGGAGAAGATTCATACTGTGTGAAACAAGAAAGACCGATTAAAAAAGATTGTAAGAATAAGATGGATTCAAAGATGTGCAGGCTTGTGTCTGTGGTGCAGCATTTAGGTGCTTGCCATCACGCACAGAAGATATGAGTTCCATTCCAGTGTGGAGAGGGTTTTAATCGAATATCTCCATCTCCGCTCTAGACCATGAGATCTTTCTCAGCCTGGGTCAAGTAGCCCCTGTACGTGATTTGAATTGTGCCGATAAAGGATTCAGACATTTACAATGAGATTTTTTTAACCTTTTTTCTCAAAATGTGCAGTTTACTGAGACCAGACCAATAAATATAAGAAAGTTCACTTTACTCAGAATTTTTTTTAAAAATCAAATCCTCAGCTTTAATCATACTGTTTGGATTAAAGTCCCAGGATCTCACATCTCTCCCCCCCCCCCCCCACCCCCTCCCCTTTCCCTTCTAAAATGGTTAAATCAATTAAAAATTAGCTCAGAGGATTGGGGGAATGGATGTGGATTGGGGGGGGGGGTGGGTGGGAATGCAGTAGAAATATAATATCAGAAAATATACAGTTGATTTAAAAGAGCAAATATACAAAGTGATTTTCTCTCCACTTACCATAAGTTCTCTCTCCCTCTCTTGCATATTCAAGGTCATTTCTCCAAGCTGATCCAGTAGCTCCTTGTTTTTCATAGTAAGCTTTAAGTATTTTTGCTCTGAGCTGATCAATTCTTGAGTTTTGCTGGCCGCAAGCTCCTGCACAGAGAGACACTACTTTAAAATGATGCAACAATGCCGGAAAAGGGCAATTTTCAATAAATAACTCCTTTGGAAGGCTGATTAATGAGGAATAGACATGACAAAATAAGGTATATTTTCAAAAATGTAAAGAAAGAATAAGAACATTATTCATTTCTAACCACTGAGAAAAGGTTTTGTTTTGTGTGGATGTCCTAGAACAGAGGAAAAACTAGTAGAAGACCATGTTGTATACATTGCACTTTACACATTTACTAAAACTACTTTTCCTGTAAAGAGACTTAGATCTAAAGAAAACAAATAGTTGCCTTTCCTTCTCCGCATACTAAAAGAAGTAATGGGTCTAGAATTAAATGGCTCCATTCTGATGAAACTTTCCTCTCTCAGTTCCATATTTTAGACTAGATTGAAATGGCTCCATTTTGATGGTATAATCTTACCTGTCTCAGTTCCATATTCTAGACTATCTTGACAAAAATTGTAAACTCCATCAGTCTGTTATGGGTGGAGTCGTGCACTGCTATGAAGTCTGCAAGCCATATCTTATTATATTTTTATAGTCCAAGCTTAATCAATGAGTTTTCAAAGATGGACAGAAAAGAAACCTTCATGCCATTCATAGATTTGTACAACAGTAAAACCTGCCTGAACATTCCAACATGCTCATGAAATCTTGTCTCTTCAAATAGCATGTGCAAGCTTTGTGAATATCTGTAATAGTGTTGCAGGAAGAGAGGCCTAGTGTAGTCCGAGAGCATTTGTGTGCATTTGTTGGGAATGTCGTATGAGGAATTAAGAAAATGAAGAAACATTTTTTTATAATAAAAAGAGAGTCTTTTTGTCAGTTCCAGACACACTTCATTTGTCACAGCATCACTTCAGCCCACATGCCTTTTCTTTCCTTGAACTAAAATTTAGAATCAACAATTTCTAATTATTTGAAAGTTATTCTCCTAGAGTCTAGGTGGTCAGCATTCTTGCCATTGCTATATTGTCTTATCTGTAGAGCCAGTTAGTTCGTCTTCAACATTTTTTTCTTTCTTAACTAACAAAACAACACTTTGCGAAAATGTACCATTAGGTGCCAGCAACTTCATTTCCTTACATACTGACAGTATTTTCCTACCTTCTCCTTGCGGAACTGGCTGAGGTACTTGGAACTCTCAAACTTGAAGTCTGTTGCCATTTCCTCCGCCTTCTTCAGCCTCTTCTTCCAGCCTGCAACATCTGCCTCAAGCTTTGCCTTGTCCCCTTCAAGTCGGAACTTAGCCCTCTCCAGACGAAATGTATACTGTTGGGCTTCTTCTAGTCGGGTCTTGTCCTGAGAATACACAGGTAATATACCGCTGTCAAGAAACAGTACTGTCATTTTGTAATACCAGATATTTGAAATAAATTTTATTGCAATTTATCTTTAATCAATGGTATTAGTTGCATGTAATGGTACAATGTATTTATGAAATATTTAACCAAAATTCAAATTCAAAATTTTGGAAAAGGCAAGTAAAGATACATAATTGCAAAATAACTGAAACAAGGTTTTCTTTTTTTCTCTCCTGAAAAATTTCACATTTTGAACAGTTGAACAACTAGCCAACAATATGCTCAACATAATGTTTTTTAGGAGATGCCTGAAACATTTTATTTTGTCACAATCAGATAAAAACATCTAGACTAGTGGGATATTCACTGACAACAGTAGCATTTTGGTCCGATGATATCCAATGTGTAAAGTTCATGAGCAACGTAATAACAGTTGTTATGTAGTATAATGAAATCAGAAGACATTAGGTAAAATATCAATTAACATTCTTGAAAAAGAGAAGAAACTAAAATCAAGCATGTCTCAGACTTATGACCCATGATTCATAAACCTTGTCCATGTATGATTAAACACTTTGAATCAATGACTCGCATTCACCTAAAGTAATACTCAGTACAATAATATCAAAATGGACTAGCTAAGAACATTCTAAAGGGGAACTACCAACTATATAACAGGTGTGAGTGATATACCCAAAATGCGTAAAAGATCATATCTCAGTTTATGAATTGAGAAAGAGTTGAAGAAATTTTGCAATTGGCAGCAGACGATTCGACCAATTTTCAGAACAAAGGCCATGCTAGCCTACATTACATTCATTTTAAAAAAGTAAATCTCAAATATTAACATCTCTTCTGCCTCCTGAAATTAATCAATGTTTTGAAAATAACTCACTTCTTCAGACTGAAGTTTGAGCCTGGATTTTTGGGTTTTCAAATCATTGATTTCATTTTCTTGTTTTTGATCTTTCTCTTTCATTCGTGATAAGACTTCATTGTTCCGCATTTCTTGTCCATCTTTATCCTCTTTAAGGTCAGCAATTATTTCCTCCATGCTGAAAAACATTTCATATGTGAGGCAGTGTGGTGAAATCAGGCGCTCCTCAAAATAATGAAATTGAAGAAATTGGCATTTTCCCACCAGTTTGGCTATTTTTATCTAATTGAGGGGGGAGGCTCAACATATTTTATGTCTATAAAAGAACGCATTTCCATGTAGATTTTACTGAAAAACATTGATTAAAGGCAACAAAAAAAAGTAAGTTTTCAGTACTGGCTGTCAAGCTATGGAAATAACCAAACTTTGGCTGCCATTTTCTCGTTAAGTTAACCTCTGAAAAAAGGTGACCTCCACCTCCTTCAATTGCAAATATCTCGACTTCTATTCATGATAAATGGGAATTTTTTCACCGAAGGCAAGACAAATGAACATGGTTTAAGATGTTACCAATAACTCCATATGCCCAAAAATTTACGAGCACCAGATTCCACAGCGTTGTGACACATTTAATAAACAATTCTGAAACAATGAACATGTGATATAAAAACAGTAGACCTTGAAAAGACACAAATACATACGCTTTCCTCTCCGCAGCAGCTTTTTCTGATAACCTCTGCAGTTCTTCCAAGCCCATTCCTTCCTCTACTAGTTGTGTCAGAGTATTGATTTCTTCTTTCATAGAGGAAACAGCATCTTTTGCTTTCATTTCTCTGTCATGAAGAATATCAACCATTCCCCAAGCATCTTGAACTTGCTGAGAAAAATAATTTTTAAAATGTTTCTGTAATCTTATTAGATAGAAAATTACTTTTACTGGTGCCCAATAATTTATTTAAAAATTGCGTTGATACTTTAAAAAATGCTAACATCTCAAGAACTTTTAAAGATTTTGAGACAGCCATATTTCATTCATTTTGAAACAAATATATATTTCATTTATATAAAAGAGCTGTGAGTCAAAGGAAAAAGATTCTTTTTATTTGATATGTTGCCGAAAGTGTCTTAGAAAGTTACCAGGGATCAGGCTCACCAACGAGGAAATGTGTTAAGGAAAACAAGACAGACCCCAGTCAGAGATGAAGTAGGAAGAAGGAGGTGGCGATGGATTGGACATACTCTCAGGAAGTCAGGCAGCTGCATAACAAAGAAACTGTTGGATTGAAATCCACAGGATAAAAGATCAAGGAGAAGACCACGTGGAACCTGGAGAAGAATCACAATAATTGATGTACAGAAAAGTGGGAAGACATGGAATAACATCAAGTAGGCTTGCTCAGGATACAGAAAAGTGAAAAGTGTTTGTGGCCTATACCCTGATGCAGGGTGAGAAAGGCAATCATGATGTTGCCCAAGAACCACCTTACTTCAGCTCCACAATATTCACTCTAGTCAAGATGATGTAGACAGTCAGTCAAGGTCAGAACAATCCCCTTTTACCAGGAAGAAAAACTAAGGGAAAAAAAACACTATTAGGAGGTAAATGAAACAGATCACATGAGAGTGACAACAAACTTTTTGCACTATGGTGTATTCTATCATGAATAGCTCCTGGAGCTTTTATTATTAGTTGGGTTGTTTTTTTTTGTTTCTTGGGGGTTGGGGGGGGGAGTGGGGAGGAAGGGGGGGGGGGGCCTGTCAACCAACTGCTCACCAGAAAAAAGTGCAACCCCTTTCATGTTTTAGTTTTGGTAAGAGTTTTACTGCATTCACAATTGCATAAGGTCATACGAGCATGCGGGACTCATTACTCAATTTCCGTTTGGTAGGAAATAATTTTTAATTTTGCTCGGGTGGAGGCCCAAGCCTACTCTCTTATTGGTATTGGACCACCAAGGGATCTTTAATGTGCGCAACTTGCATATGGGACTTCCAAGATTTTTCACCTTTATCTGAGAAGGCTAGGTGTTAGATCTTACCTATCCTAAGATCAGGTGTGTTGTTGAAAGACAGCTGTAAGAAGGAACCAAGGAGTAGCAGTGGACAGGCTACAGAAAGAGTCGGGAGCCAAGAGGAAGGGGCAAAGGGAGTGGGGGGAACGGGGAAGAAAGTTGAGACAAAAGCAGACGACAGAACATGATTAGAAAGCGGGTAAAGAGATGAATGGAACAAATTTTGGAGAAGAAAATTTTCTGTCGCTGTCAGGTTTCGAATCTGAGACCTATTGAATGAGAGACGAACATCCTACCCTTTAACCATGAAAGCCCCCAACCCCCTCTGATGGCTGCCAGATATTTGGACGGTATCACTGGTAGGTCCCATTTATTTGCCATCTCCCTGTAGCCATTTTTGCTTTTCCAAACACAAAAAAGGTCGTTATTGAGCTAATGTGTTTCTTTTTTCCTCAAAATCAAATGGAGGCAAAACATATTAATATTTCTTTTCTTTTTCTTAACTCTAGACACTGGACTAAAGGCTCTTCCCTTAAAATAAAACAAAGTTGTGTTTTGGCATTAGTATGAGTTTCATGGCATTTGCAACACAGATAGGTCAAATAAGTGATGAAGATTAGAGGTGTTAATAGAAAGTAACATACAAAGAAAAGAAGGAGAAGAGATAAGAACAATAGATATTTAATAGGAGAGAAGGAACAAGCCACACCACGGCCCCCACAAATCACCCATTGCATTCAACTAAGAACAAAATATGGCACAAACTCTTACTCTGTTCAAGGTGGCAATCATTCCACGGTCCTCCTGAGACAGATGGATAGCCAAATTGACTTTCTCTGTGTTGTTCTTGATTTCGCTTGCTAAACTTGAACATCTCAGCTGCCACGTTTTAAGTTCCTTATGACTGCTTTTCAAAGCCTCGTATAACTTCTCATATTCTTCCAAAAATCTTTCTGCTGATTTGTCACCTCGGAACTCTTCAATGACCTGAAATCAATCATGCAAAAAAAAAGATATAAAATATTCAGGTGGTATATCAGAGAACGCTTTTTTTTCTCATTAACCTTAGCATGATAAAGAGAAGACAAGATCATCATCACCATTATCATCATTGTAAATAACAAGGAATAAAAAAGGGTTGAGACTTGTAGAATTTCCACTTTTTTATGCTCCACAACAAACAAATAAGATGCTGATGAAGATGGTAATGATGAAGGGAAGGTGAAAGAAAGCACAAACAATAATACGTAGTGGAACATCCAAATACATTAGCATCCTTAAAATCCTCTCCATACATATCTTCAATGTAATCACTTATATCATTTTATCATCAGCACCCCACCCTTGGCACTAACCCTGCTACGGCTACTTTTCTATCACAATCTTAACAAAATTATAAACACGTCATAAAATAACCTCCACCTAAGATCCCATCGTTTATAATCGCTGTTCACTTAAGATCCAGCAGTTTTATGATCTAACAGAATTTTTATCAACACAAAATTCATCCCTGAGATCCCACTCTGAAGGACTACTTTCAGATATAATTTTTGAATAAAAACCCAGTGGAGCATAACTTATCAACCAAGCAGTGAAAATTTGTGGATCATAAGAAAATTTGTGATCATTGTACAGCCCATTGCATCACAGATCATCCACTCTCATGAATGGGATCACATGTCTGTTGTAAATCTCGATGACAGGGTACAATGTTTGCCCCATATGAGATCACACTGAGGTGTGAACCCGTCAAGGCCTTTATTTTCACAAAGCATCGTCCTGGGGGCTCTCATGGTCTAGAGGTATAGTGTTCGCCTCTCTTTCAATAGGTCCTGAGTTCGTAACCTGATAGTGACAGAAAATGTTCTTCTTTAACTACAAAATTTTCTAATTTCACCTCCTATCCTGCTCTCTGACCACGTTCTGTCGTCCGCTTTTGTATTCACTTTCTGCCCCATCCCCTCCACCCTTTGCCCCCCTCCTCTAGGCTCCTGGCTTTCTACTGTCCTTCTGCTGTTACTCCTTGGCTCCTTCTTACTGCCTTTCAGTAACACCCCTGATCTTACAGTAAATAAGATCTAACACCTAACCTTCTCAAATGTAGGTTAAAAAATCTCGGAGGTACTCTATGCATGTTACACACATTAAAGATCCCTTGGTGGTCCTAAAATCGATAAAAGTAGGTTTCAGCCACCACCCAGGCATTATTCAAAACTAATTCATACCAAACTGAAAATGCTTAATGTGTCCTGAGTGCTCATATGACCTTATGCAGTTGCCAGCGCCGTGAAAACACTTAACAAGAAGAAAAAAACAACATCGCCCTCGCATTTGAACCCTCTACCTGAACTTACATCACACGCTGGGTGGATAGGGCCTACAAGGCCAAATCAGAGAAGATCACATCAAACTGAACTCGTCTGCGCTTTTGCTTCCCTGACCATCGCAGCCATCTTTCATTTCTTTATCCAAATTTGCCGGAATGACTGGGTTTTAATTGGTGTGGTCTCAATTCATACAATGGTATGTTTCAAAATTAACGGGGCACTTGGTCAGAGATGGAAAACTATAATAATATACATTTTGGAAAGGTTCAGGGGAGGAGCAATGGAATCTTTGTAGATCTTGACACCAAAAAATTGGATGTCTCATAACATTGTGATTGACCATCAAATTTAATTCACTGAAGTCATGCATTTTGTACGTTTGAAGACGCATTGTTTTGGGGTACTTAAAAAAAAGAGGAATAACTTCCTTAATTGATCTAGATATTAAAATTCTGCTTCCTTCACCGGAAAGTTAAAAAGAGAGGCAACAACATATACATGCTATGAAATATGCAAATTCGTGTTTCTCATTTGTGTCTAATGATTCAAAACAAGCAGCATTATTAAATTGCCTTCGGTCTGCTGCTGATCGGACATATGTGCCCACTATCTCAACAAAGAGTTAACCACTCTTTGCTCGCCATTAAGTAATAACCCTTCCTGGGGTCAAGGCAGTCCATTTAAAAGTAAGATCGACTGTTGACCCGACTATGATTCACTGTAGATTCTTCCCCTGATGAATCAGTTAACATCCCATTCATCTGAAACTGGGAAAATAAAGCATAACAGCATAGTAGATTTTTATTTATATCTAAAAGATTCTTAATACTTTAAAACATAATTCATTTAACATACTGCAGAGAATGTGTTCTGGATGTCCTCCATTGTTTTGAGTTCATTTGGCAATTCCGCATCCTCAAAAGTGAGCTCACGGATGGAAGTATCTGATGTATCTTTGCTTTTGAATTCAACATTTTTGGGGGTCCCACGTCCCTGGAGAACATTGTAAATGAACATGATGCAAGCTGAGGTTAGTAAAAGATAAAACAAAACCTAGTAATTCAAATTTCAAACATATATTATAGACATAAAATCTCATAGTTTTGAGTTTCTTTCAACTATTTCTATTTTGGCCATTTTGTTCTCTAACAAATCAGAGACTAATACAAAAGGTTTTTTTAATGATTCAGGTGACTTATTGACGTTATGCAAAATTTTTAAAAACAATTGTTACATGGTCTAACTATAAAGTGAAGTTCAATAGTTTCAAATATCATGGACAATCTTATATTGCAATAGTAGAGAAGAGGTACAGGTATGGAACCTAAAGAATTAATGCCTGTGTCAGCAGTACATAATTAACTTGCTTTTAAGTTTGAATTAAGGAGTTGGCTGCAGAATTAGGAAAGCATATTTATCCACAATATTTAGCTCATGCATGATCTATTAAAAGTTTTCTAAGGTATCTAAAAAAAAATCCACATTGTGATTCAGCATCTGGACTAAATGTAGTCGAGCCATAAAGTTTGTATGATAGGCCAGTTTTATCTGCAGTACATTCGGTGGCAAAGTGTCTATATAATTAAATAATCACTGCTTCCGTTCCTAATTTTGGAACATCGTTGCAGTCAAATTCACCCATAGACGTAGGCCTATAAATTAAATGTAAATAGAATTATCTGATGTTCACAATGAACAGCAGCTTCATGCCTCATTCAAAGTTTTTTCATTGCCAAATAAATACCCTGTTCAACTGAGATTTGTCATCAGGAATATCACTGGAGAAAGTTAAAAGACTTCAATTAACTGTCCAAAACAAAGCTGCACATTTAGTTTTACGGAAAAGAAAGCAAGACTCTGCTAAACCTCTTTTTGCATTGGCTTCCTGTTGAGAAAAGGATTGTGTACAAGTTGGCCTTCATATGTCACAAATGTTTGAATGATAATGCACCATCATATAATTATCAAATCTGTTAAGACTGTACATTCCAACTCGCAGTTTAAGGTCATCAGCTGAAAAAAAGAAATTTATTTTACCATCTATGAAACTTAAAACAATGGGTGAAGAGGGCATTTGAATACCAAGGCCCCAAGATCTGGAATGCTTCACCAAGTACCAATTAAAGAGAGATCAAATCTTTTGATTCATTCAAATGTCAGCTGAAGTCATTTCTGTTTTTAAATTAATAAGATGAATATTTGGAGTACTTTTCTTTAGTCAAAACGCAACGTTTTATGACTGTTGTACGTTGTAGGCCTACTATTGTAAAGCGCTCAGAGCCTGTGTACTTAAATCGGGGAAGAGCGCTATGTAAATGTCATTTATTATTATTAGTAGTAAGCCTACATTTGAACCTGGCCAGCTTTAGATGACACAAATCATGAGCAGAGAGTAGATTTATAAAAGTATAGATCTAGTCACTACATCTAGCTGGTAGTTGTTGTTTTGGTTTTTTTCAGTGGTTAAGCATGCTGTTTAGGCCTAATTATAAAGTACTAAAATTATATTGTGCACAGCACTCTGTCTTGTATGGTATAATTTCTTTTTTTTAAAAACAAACTGATCCTTTTAAACTTAGGCCGGCACTATTTCTCAGAACGTTCGGGAAAATAAAGCTAGGCACTATTTCTCTGAACGTTCGGGAAAATAAAGCTGGGCACTATTTCTCTGAACACTCTGAAATCACATCCTTTCCCGCAAATTTCAGATATTATATAGATCTATAATTATAGTAAAGGCGTAGGCCTACCAAAGATTGTTTGTATACAATATGGTTCAATCGGTTCAAAAAATGTCTGTAGTAAATATTTATATATAAAGAAATGCTACAGTTCCAAACAGTTTTTCGCTAGAGATATGACGTGTTGCCTATGAAGGGTGCTGCTCTTAAACTTAATGTGTTGTGTTCACTCGTGTGCTGTCTAGATCTAGATCTAGATCTACGGAGGGTTATTGATAACGACACATTGAACTAGCATCTGCGTTTGTCGCGGCCGCAACCAATCAATCGTGGCTCGATTTTTTGGGCATTTTTTGGTCCCCGAATCGGGTAATAAAAGTCAAATAAAAAAAAAAGAAAAGGAAAGAAACCAAACCTCTTTACTTTTGAAAGAAAGTTCACCTAGCTTCACTTCGTCTCTTTCTCACTTGTTGTCAACATGTTGATTTGTTGAATACGTTACATGCAGCAACTTTTATTTTTCCCTCTTTGTGGTGTTTTATTTTGTTAGTATGTATTTTTTTCTTTCTTGTTATTGTTCTGATGTGTTGTTTTTCTATCAAATTTTTTGGGTGGGGAAAAAAGTGGGGGGGGGGGGGGGATTTTGTATAGTGTAACGTCATTTAATTTGATGTTCCTACCTTCATTAGATTCTAAATATATATACATGTGTATATACAGATTTAATTGTGTTATATTAGAGCGTACGTTCCACCAAAAACGATTACATTTACTGACACTGGCAGGCCCCTTAATGTGTGTGATTCCGTAATTTACATGTAATATCCTGTACTTTGTTTTAAAATTACGCACATTTAGGGTTAAAACAGCCAATCTTCTTTGGACAGGTGGACTCACGCCCTTATTTGTTAATTTTTGTGGTTGTCTATGGGCTGTTCTAATTTTGATTTCATTCGGTTGTGAAACCTTTATTTTCATGTTTTTACACTCATTTAAATATCTCTAGACTAGCTCTTGAAAATTGAAATTGATATAGACCTAAAAATTTGCTCCTCTGTGTGTGTGTGTGTGTGTGTGTGTGTGTGTGTGTGTGTGTGTGTGTGTGTGTGTGTGTGTGCGTGTGTGTGTGTGCGTATTATGTCTTTGGCCCAGAACGAGATATTCATTCTTTCATTCAAACTATTTGCAAGCGTATTTCATATCAAGTATGCATTTTTATACAGTAAAGAGATAAGGAAAGTTGATAGCACGGTTATCTTTTTTAAAAATTTCTTGCAACTACGAGACAAGAACGGAAAACTAAAGCTCTCAATATTATTGCCAGGTCTCGTTATCTGAGAAACTCATTATTGGTCAATTTTCCCATTATTCAACTTTACTGTCTTATTTTGTTCTGCACCAAAACTGCGCTTGTGTTTATATTTACAGACAGACAGACAGACAGACAGACAGACAGACAGACAGACAGACAGACAGACAGCAGACAGACAGACAGACAGACACAGAGATTTTAGATCAGTTCCTACACTCAATTCATTCTTTTGTTTCAGCCTCATAATCGTCTCTTTCAATGACATTTTCTGATGCTGATGCTAGCGTCTAATCAACGAGATGAGAATGCTGTTTCGGCCCTACCCCAGTTTCAACAGTTATCGAGCTCAGAAAATGCTTTTTGAACACCTTTTCAAAATACTTTGATGCCCTAGCCTCAATTTCTCAAGATTACCCCAGCCTATTGCAATGGCATCCACATTCTTCAGCACATCACATGACAGTTCGAACATTGATAGGCACTAGTGGTGTAGGCATAGTGATGAAACATATCGTGAGAGTGATAATAGGGAAGAGGAACCTTTAGATGAGGATGAACTTGCTCCTCACCCCATTGCCAAAAAGAAAATTTCACCAATGAAGAAAGATAAAGAAGTAGGTGACAATGACGGGTATGCGTTTTTTATTCTGCCTTTGAGAACCCACCATCAAATAAAGTTTCAGCAAAATTTACAAGGAAGTGCAAAAGCTATGGAGGCTGAAACAATATTCACAAAATCAGCGCAACACTGAGGTTTAGTAGAGCAGGATGCTGTGTGACGGAGATGCCAAATCTCATCAGATGCTCAATTTTTTATGGCATTTATGACTTTGAAATTGTAAAAGATGACTACACACATCGAATTAACAAAAGCATATTCAATGCCCTTCAGAGCTTCCAAAACACCAACAACGAAGAGCTGAACAGAAAACTAATGAAGATTGAAAAACAGAGCAGTTACAAATGCCTCACAAAACCTGGACGTAACAGTTACTTGTGCTCATTAGTTTTAATTTTGTTTTTGTTCTGGAGCTGTTGGTTTCTTACCGAGCTCGAAACCTCTTTTTCACACAGACCCTGTAAGATTTTGAACATCTGTCAGTGAGGAATAGAGGCCACGAAACTGCCATGTGCCCCCAATTCAGACCCTTTGTTTGCAACTCTCTGTGACATTTGAAATGAAATGACTGATAAATATGTCCAAAACTAAATAGAACTGATGCCCAAAGGTTTCGTGCACAACACAAAACCAATGGTTCCTACGCAAAATAACAATGAACACAATTAGGGTTGAGTCGAAGTTTTGTGTGGTATCTGTGATTGCTCTGTTTTCCGTTATGTTTGAAACTATCGTGACAAAATATCGTAATAAAATATAGTTTATTGCAAAGACACAATTCTCCATTCATTGGGCATTCAATATATCGCCATTTGATCAATATTGATACTCTTCAATAAATGTGAAAAGACAATTTTACGTTTCTTTGATTTCGCACAATTTTGCCAAGCCTTATTTTTTTTAAGGTCAATTTTGAGTGACAATATCTCGGGCGTCTCTTAAAATAGATTAAATATTAATGTGTCAGACGATGAAGAATTTATTTAGCTTTAAATTGGAATGCTGCATGAGTGGGTAATGAAAGGTTTTAACACGATGACTGGGTGATTACATTTTCAAGTTTCTTTTGGACACCACTGTATAACGGACTACATTTACTATTTACAGTAAGTTTTGCACCTCCTAACTTTTAGGAGTTTTCTCTCAAATTGGGCTCTTTCACAGGGGAGTGGGGGGGGGGGGCACAAAAATCTATCATGCGAAAAGCTGTTAATATATCCTCATAATTTTCGATGTACTGATAGATGAAACATTATTCTAGTGTGATAAGTAGTGACGTCAAAAAAAAATCTTGAATAATTGATTTTATTATAAATTTAATCCGTTGTTTGGATCTCAGATTTTTTGTGGTCAAAATATTCCCATATTTAGGACCTCGATTCTGGAAAAGTTTTTCCTCCTAGATCTACATCAAAAATGCCAAGTCCATCCTCTAAAACAGCCACGGAAGGCTGCAAAACCACTTATTGCAACATTTAAAACCATTTATAACCTTATGATAGATTTTTTAGAAATGTGTGCATTTTCTATATATGATTATGATATTCCAACATGGCAGGCGTTACCTTCTTAGCAACACAAAAGAATTGTCAAAATTTTACTTCATGACTTAATTATCCACTCTTTTTATATTGATGCTAACCAATAATGCTACCACATTTGTAAGCTTAGTTTCTTGTTCTTAACGAATTTCAAAATTTCCCCCTCATCATGCCCTGAACAGAGCCTGCAAACTGCATTCAGGGCGCCGTGAACGTAGCCTGCCAATTACATTCACGGCGCCGTGAACCTAGCCTGCAGACTACGGCGCCGTGAACGTAGCCACTGCGTATATGATAAGTTCAGTAGGTTCAATTCACAGATTTAATTCTAGATCTAGTGTCTTGTAAACTAGCCTACAGTGTACCACTGAAAGTGTTGACTTACTGATAGTGAAACTGCAGCCGATGCCAATTGTTCCTCGTGTGTTGCACCGTCGGCGACAGCACCAAGGCGTCCAAGGTCAGCATTATTTGTTGTTCCTGACTCAGATGTTCTCTTGTCTGACATTTTAAGAGACAACTAGAATCTAGAACCTAGTTTTAGATCTCGGTCTAGATCTAAATCTACTTGTATAGAATAGAGATGGAAACTTAGAATTTAGAAGTGTACGGACGCTTGATGAATGATGTCCGTACTTCGCGCCGATGAAAATGGCAAAATGGCTCACTTATTTTGTTACCATGACGACAGATCCGGTTTTATTTTTTTAAATTCTCAAGTTTTAACTTGACACAGGAAACAACGAAAATAAGAATTCTGGACAACTTTTGCTGAAATCGCCGCCCCCATGTACAAAATGAGACCAATAGATCATAAAACAAAATATCAAGGCATTTTCCCCCGCTGCCAGTTAAGCCAGTTGACTGATTCGAGATTATGAACCTGCGAAATGTAGCCTACAAGTTAACTCCTACAATCTTTGTGTTTGTGTGTGTGTAAGCGTGTGTGTGCGTTTATTAAACGTGTGTGTGTGTGTGTGTGTGTGTGTGTGTGTGTGTGTGTGTGTGTGTGTGTGTGTGTGTGA